TCAAATCCTTGTTCTACAAATTCTTAAAGTTTTTTTTTTAAAAAATATTTAGATATATATATATATATATATAGAAATTTTTTTTCAATATATATATATATATATATATATATATATATATATATATAAAGGGTAATGTGCACATAACACCCCTATATTATAAAATTAGTAACATATATATCTCATTGGGTATTTTCGAAAAAGTAAAAGGGCAAAATAGGCGTTATAGTACTAATTTAGGACGTATTTTTGTCCAATGTGAAAAAATTAAAGGTATTTTTTATATATTTTTTCAAATAAGAATAAAAATACTAAGTGAAGTATACTTTTAAGAATATTTTTTACACTTATCTTATATATATATACCCACACATGTATATTACAATACATAAATAATATATAATTAATGATACAAAATTTGATCTGCTATTCAAATGAATAAAATCTTAGGAGACACATTGTCACTGAAAAATAAAAATGGACTCTCTCTGTGGTCTTTTAAGTATTTTGATCCTTTTACTTCTTGTCGGTTCCTTATTAATTAAGAGATCATTAGAGTGATGTAAACGACGGATTAGGTACACCTCTTGGAGCCACTCGCATGAATTTTTTTCAGAAAAACTATATGCGTCTTGTGGTAGGTTATATGGTTGTAAATGAATCAAACTATTTATGAGCAGCTCGGTCTTGGCGTGGGTTCGTTCATTAAGTAACGATCGATTAATTTCTAAACTCATTTAGTAAACAAGTCGATTTTAAATAATATTAGGCTTGACTCATGTAGGTTGGCGAACATACATTCATATAAGTTCATATATGTCCGTGAATAGATTTGTACAGGTTCATGAATGTAAACTCTTTAAGAGACTTGTATAGATTATATAAGGCCATGACCAAAGAAGAATGATCTCGAACCTAAGTTCAAATCGCGTCAGCTCCAACAACTTTTGATATTAAATAAACTGAGCTAAACTTTTAAAAATAATAAGGAACTGAGGCTCCAGCTTTCCCATCTTGTAGGTAAAAAGTATAATGTTCAAAATAATAAAATAATTTATCATGTGCATTGCCACCATTTAAAAAATTTAGATTTTTTTTTTTTTTTTTTTTGCTAAAATAAATAGTTCAAGGGACTTTTTGCGCGTTAGTATATTAATTATAATAAAGATAGTAAGAATCACAGATGATGAGAATTAAAGATCTGTATCTACCTTCCTTCCAATTCTTAAACCAAAATCTGACTTTCATTCCTCCCACTAGGGCAGTAATTTAATCAAATCCTACAAAACAAAGAAGCAATAAAATATAATAAGTTATTAGATTACTTGGGAAATTAAAAAAAATTGCATGTAATACAAACCTTTATCAACTACTCCTCCAATTTTTTTGTGAGAAGTAGTTTGATTACATTAAAAAAATGGCAAGGGTTGGGCTTACCAATGATAACTATGCTTACATTGTGAGCCACTAATCCAGGAAATAAATAAAAATAAGTTTGAACAACGACCAATGTAAACATTAGAAAGACCACTTGCACATTTAATTATAAAAATAAAAATAACAATCTAAGAGCATTTTGGACCTATATATATATTTTTGGTATGAATCTGATATCAAGAGATAGATTTATACAAAAAAAAAAAATTAGATTATTTATTTTTACCTCCAGCGGTTGTTTTATATTTTTTTTTGTGTAAAAATATATCTTTAATAATAACCAATCACGTGCCATGGACCTCACATAACTTTTATAAGCTTACTTAATATACGATTGACTCTTTAATGGGATGAGAAAGAGGGGGAGAAATGAAATATATTGATATGACTGTGTAAAAAAGTTATGTAAAATACACAATAATTTTATACATTGGTGATGTGACACGGTATATTTTAACAAATTGTTAGAGATAAAAAAAAAATTTAGACATCATGTGTAACCGTATATATTTTATACCAAAAAAAAATAATAATAATAATAAAAACTTTTAACATACTGCTAGATGCTCTGAGCCAATTACATTTACCCCTTCTAGAAAACATTTACCCCCTTCGAGAAAGGTTAAGCCACCACACCTGTTAAAACATTGACTTTTTCAATCAGTATGCGTAAAGTCAATATTTACCGGTTGAGAAGCACTAAAATGCATGTGATATCGAGAGGACGGTGGAGTCACTGTCTTCCAATTCTCAGGGCCGCCAACCTTTTTCCGTGCGTGTGTGTGTATATATATATATATATAATTATGAAATTCAATTAATTTGAAAGATTGGTTAAATTTATAATTTAAAAGATTTAACATGTTGGTGTACTTTCCAGCTTTAATTGAGAGTTTCCTTCAAAAATGAATATATGCCTATACAAATTTTGAAAGAGGAAAAATGATGGTTATGTTCATGGAGGAATAATCATTTCTTTTATTAAAAAATCACTCACTTCCTCCCATGCGTTTTCTAAATAAGATGCATACATAAGAAAGATACATAATTTGATATATATAATTTTATATACATGGTGACTGAAACATTAATAGTTAACAAATATACTAGATCGCGATGAAATCACAGTGGACGTTAATCACAATTTTGACTCTTATTCGTAGAAAAAGAACTGACAACTTCCCAAATAATTAATTACTAATGCCTGTTAGGGGGAGTTTTTTGATTCTAAAATTTCTTTCGACGAATGGACTTTGTAAAATGCATTTATATGAAAATTTCCTTTGCAAATTGATGTTATAATGATGAAAATGCTCTTAGTGTATGTTTAAGAAATATTTTTATTTTACATTTCTTTTTGCTTTAATTTATTTTTTTTAAAGAATAGAACTTTAAGAAAAAATTGAAAAATACACTCCATTAAAGTGATATTGTAATGATAAAAGTGCCCCTAAATAGAAATTTAAGAAAATTTAGGTTTTCTTTTCTTTTTAAAATTTTATTTTATTTTAATTCAAGAAAATCTTAAAAATTGTTTTAGGTATTTTCATTTTCTTGCAGACTCACTATTAAAAAAAATTTAGAAATTCTTTAACAACACTGTGCCGAATGATTTTTTATTTATATTCATTTAATTTTATATTAAGGAAAACTAATGACTTTTTGTAATATATCATATCAAATTGTAACACTAAAACCCAGGGGAAAAAAAAATTGTAACACTAAAACAAGTTAATTTGAGAATGCCAATACCTCCGTTTCATATTAGTTGTCTATTTAAAAAACTTTGACGCGCTACTATTTTTTATTTTTGAGTCATTAAAAATTATTTTTAATTATATTTTTTTATATACTTATTTATATATATATATATATTAGATGTCTACTTCGATAATCTTAATATGGAACGGACTAGTAACTTTTTTTATATATATGTCACATTAACAATTTAACATTATCGTGTAAATATAAATATAAGTTCATATTAAAATTATTAAAGTAGACATCTAATATATATATATATATATAACAATTTAACATTATTGTGTAAGTATTTTATTACGATTAAAAATAATTAAAGGTTGTGGAACTAAATGTTGAATCAGAGAAGATTCTATGTGAAACCGTTGCATTCAAAACAATTGACTGTCAATCAAAATGAAAGAAACGAAAATTTTGCAACTTGGCGTGTGCGTGTCCTGACTTATGGGATAAGATAAGCATGAATGAAATCAAAAAGTATTATTTTATTTATTATATTTGGACGGACTTGTGTGACCCGATGAAACCGGTGGGTCAGAGCCTCTCTCCTTGTGCGCCCACAGGTCTGGATTCAAAACCTGAAACCGGTCACCGGTTTTGTGACGAAGCGGTTTCTGGTTTTTTCCGCGGAACGCAGAGAACACACCACTTCCCGAAAACCAGGAGCTACGCACCTGAGCCCCACGCCACATGGTGGGTGGGACCTCGTTTTCCACGATATGTGGCGATTCGACCGCACTCTGACACCAGACACGTTTCCGCCACGCGCCCCCTCGTTTTTGGACCCGCTTGCATGGATTCCACCTCCCCATGTGTCACCGTCGCCCTCCACCTGTCCCTTTTGGTTTTAAATACCATAATACCCTCAGTTGAACAAGTATGAGTCAGTGTGACTCTATGAAATTGGCTAGTATTGTAATTATCAGCTTCTTGTGAGGTTACTTTGCTATTAATAAAATATGTTGTATTAATATTGAATTCTCGTAATAAATGTGTAATAGTAAATGTATTACTCCGTACATGATAAATATTTACATTACTTGCTACTCCAGTTTTGCATATTCGAATTAAAGTGCATTCCCTGGTCCCATTAATCTTAGGTATATACAAAGTTGGTGACTATTGTATTTCACTGTTCACCTATCTTATGTTTGAACACACGTGTAAAGGGTTGTTTGCAAAAACACTCATATAATATATACATATAAAACATATACCTTCTCATTAAGTTCTCAAAATTCTCTAACGTTTGTTTTTGAATCGAACAAGAGCATCACGTTATTTGACCGTTAATGAAATGATTAAAATATTAAATCATAATTCTTAAAGTAAAATAAAAAAGGTAACAAACTCAGACCATAAGGATCTCGAGGAAATGACGCATTTTGAAGGCGGAATTTATATACAAAATGGGTAAGAACATTTTCGGACTTCAAGGGCATTTTGAATATTTCATACCTGCCACACACAAGATTTTATATCAATACTTTTCTAAATGATCAGTACTGATAAGCCCTTATTGTGAATATTTATAAAGTTTTAATAAATTTGTATATACAAAATAAATAATATAGGTGTTATTTACATGAAAAAGTAAACCATTGGGTATTTTATAAATGGTGAGGTTAGTCCATGAGGATCCGAACTCGAGTAAAAAGTGAGGAGATATGTTTAAGATGGACTGTAATGATTGGGTAGTGAATTCACGCGCTAGGAAGACGAGTGGACTAAGAGCTGTAGAATTTTGAATTTTATAAATCCATAGTGTTACATTCCCAATTCCGAGAATGTGGAAACTGGTTTTCTCATCAAACTCTACCGCTTATTGGGAAACAACTGCGGCCTCAAGTACCCACCAAACAGCGGCCCACTTCCTATATGTGACTATATCTATATATATATATATTTCCATATATATATATTTATAGTATATTATACTAATAACACTATATCTATCTATTCTAATACCTTTACTCGCTACTTAAATAGATCCCAAACCCCCTTTCCTTCTCCTCCCTTCATACTCTCTCTCTCTCTATATATCTACTACTCTCTCTCTAGAAATCATGCGTATGAGCTGTAATGGTTGCAGGGTCCTCCGCAAGGGCTGTAGTGAAAACTGCAGCATCAGACCTTGCCTTCAATGGATCAAAAGCCCAGAATCCCAAGCCCATGCCACCGTCTTCCTCGCCAAGTTCTACGGCCGTGCCGGCCTCATGAACCTCATCAACTCCGGCCCAGAACATCTCCGTCCTGGTTAGTACATACATATAATGCTATTTTGACCTATTTCTCAAAAATGGGACCCACACTTCACTGAATCACACGCTTAAAATTTCATCAATCAACCAGACACATCATACATCGGTTTAAATATAATTATTTTATTAAAAATTAAAATACCCAAAAATTATGTTCTTACAATTTCTTTGTTTTGATTTGATTACAGCAATATTTAGGTCACTACTATACGAGGCATGTGGGCGGATTGTGAACCCGATTTATGGATCGGTCGGGTTGCTTTGGTCCGGGAGTTGGTCGCTTTGTCAGAATGCTGTAGAGGCTGTTTTAAGAGGTGAACCGATTACCCAGATTGCATCCGATTCGGCTGAGTGCAACAATGGGCCACCTCTGAAAGCTTATGACATTCGTCACGTTCCCAAGGATGATAGCCCGGCCGGGTCGAGCGAGCTTCACCGGGTCAGGACTCGGTGCCGGTTTAAGCGGTCGGCGACGAAGACCAAGGTGAACCGGGTTTCGGGTGGGTCGGGTGACGAGATGAACTGTTCCACGAGTCATGAGTCGTCTTTGAGCCACCAGTCCGAGGCGGCTCCGAATGTCGGTGGTGGTGAAAGCCGAGAGACGGAGAGCTTGGGTTCGGCTGAGACGGCTGAGGCTAACGTGTTGCTTGGGGCGGAGCCGGAGTCGGTGCCCGAGCCGACTGACGATGGCGACGTTGAGCTTGAGCTGACCCTTGGATTTAAGTCGTCTTCACGTGGTCCCAAGAAAACCAGACCTTGTGTAGCTCAAGATTCGTCTGACGATGGCGTGTGTAAGATGGAGCTGGGGCTTGATTATCCGGTGTGATCAAGACCACACTAATCATAATCAGAATTAGAGATCAGTTTTGACGGTTCAGATCAACTGCCTTTATTTTTTCTTTTTGGTGTTCGTACTTCTTGTTTTTACCCTTTGTCCATGTATAATTGTGATTACAAATATAGAATAGTAGATATCGGAAGCTGTTTGTTGTCTTGAAATTCTATTTTTTATTTTTTATTTTTATTATTTATTTTTGGATAAATACGTTTTTTTTATACTTAAGAAAGATGTTTGGGTCTATGATCAAAAAAAGAACTCTAGAAATTTGCGACAAAAAGTGTGAAACAATTTAACCAAAAAAAGCAAAGAAAAAAACAGCTCGGTTGTTTGTTTGTTTGTAAAAAATATTTTTTATATTTTTACTTTGTTTTTTTTTACTTTGTCAATGTTTGATAGAGGTCTATTTTTACTTGTTGGTAGAGGTATATATTGAGATCGAGTTTATCATGCGGAGCATTTAAAATATTTAATATTTTACATCCATGGAGTTTTAATTAAAAGTAAAATTATTTACCAATTTTGTTTTTTCCAACCTATATATTGAGGGCATGATGTTTTATTTTTGATTGGTGCGTTAGCTAATTCTGAGAATTTTGTACGGGTTTTCAATTATTTGTAAACAGAAAAAAGTTTCTTTACAAACTAAACATGCCCTTGCATTTTTACACATTGGCTCCACTCCATTAGTCTGAGCATGTTTTGGAAATTTGATTATGCTTAATTATAATTTTTTAGGAATCGTGAAAGTAAAAGAAAAAATTTAGAAAAAAACTTTAAAACATAAATTATTGCGGCGATGCCCGTCTTTATAGTGCCTTTATAGTCCAATGAATTAGTGTCTTCATATTTTTCCAATGAATTAGTGCTTTCATAATTTAGTGAGTTAGTGCACCGGTGGACGCGGGGAGTTGAAGAAAGTATATTTTGTGTTATTTGTATAGAATTATAGATGTATGGATATGGTAAGAAATCTTTTTCTAGTTAAGGTAAAAATATCCTTTAACATAAATGTTACATTCACTTAGAACGTACATATGTATTTCCAATTAAGGAAAAAAAAGATCTTTTACCACCTAAAAACTCATGTAACAGTGAAGGGCCAACCACCAGACAATGAGACACACACATTAATATGTGTATAAATGTGATCAGTCCAATTAGAACTGCCATAGGTCTCGTAGGGCCAATTAGTGTGCACATACTATAATTAATGAGTATTTATTTATTTATTTTTGACAATCTGAGAGCTAATGTTGAAATTTATTTGTAATATATTAATATACGTTGGTGGAATCATTTTTTAATCAAAGAGTGCAGATTCAACTGTTAGACCAAATCTCAATAGTACTAAGAGCACGAAGTAGTTAATATGAATGATGAAAACATGCTATATTTTATTTACACCAAATCTTGATTATGTTTTAATGGATTAACAAGAATAACAATTGTTTGGAACAAAGAGAAAGCCATACAAATATTGCTGATTGTTTTAGAGCTGTTGTGGCCGTGAGCGTGTGCGCTCTTGAATAATCTGACTTAGCAATTGAGGAGAGGAGGAATGACTATCTTTAGTTGGTTTCGACATGTTCGTATTACTTCGATTCTAACGAAAGAATTATGTTAAACATGAAGTGTGTTAGATGAGAAATATAGATGTGAATCATAGGCAAACAACAAAATACCTTCTAAAAATGAAGACATATAATTTTCTCTTCATTAACTTTTGTCAGTAACGCTCGTGAGTAATCTGACTTAGCAATTGAGGAGAGGAGGAATGACTTTCTTAAGTTCGCTTTACTTTGGTTCCGACAGATTCGTATTACTTCGGTTCTAACAAAAGAGTTCTGTTAAGCTTGAAGTGCGTTAGATGGGAGATATGAACGTGAACCACAAGCAAACAACAAAATACCTTTTAAGAATTAAGTTATATAATCTTCTCTTCATTAACTTTTGACAGTAAAATGATGATCAATTACAAGTTTTTGGATGGTACAATATAGAAGGACCTGGTTACATTCTAAAGGGCTTAATAGTGAACCATTGATTACCCATGTAAACCTAGGTGAAGAACTGTAAATTACACCATCAAAGCGAGTAAAGAAGCAATGTAAACCTAGGATTACAAGTTACACTATGGAAAGCATGTATAAGTACTGAAGTGGAGACTTACATAGGAATGTAAAGCTAACTATAGGTGGCGCTGGCTTGGATAGACGTATTGAAAGTGGTTGTGTTGGTGCAGGATGATCTTTTCATAGATAGGTTTTATTTGTAGTGTTTGAGATCCTCGGGTCCTTGGTTGGATGTACCCCACATGGACACCGAGATGGTTTCCATTGTAAAGGCTATTGCAACATGTGAGGTGTTACCATTGGTTTGACATGGGTGTGATCTTTTAGGTTTACCAGGGTTTGGAGTATTGCTTTTTTCAGGTCATTCTGATTAATATGACTTTCTGCTGACGGAACAGAAGTAGGTGGCTCTTTCCGTTGCTAGTCATTTGTTACGTCGAATCCTTACTTCTTGTATACTGTAAGAGTCAGGTTATAGTTAATTATTTTAAAGAATTTATTTTATAGCAGAATCAAATAGTGTCTTTTATTGTACTCAAATTCAACCTATGTAAATTAAAAAAGGGGGAGAAAATTTCAAAAACAAAGTTATTTCATTTAAGTTCCCTAATGTCATGTTTGTGAGCACAAAATTGGTAGTTTGATTTAGAATGAAAGAAAATTTAGATAAAATTTTAAACTACATTTGTTTCAATTTTAAATTCATTAGAGTCTTGAACCCTACCCCACGCGGTTAATTACATGAGTTTAACGTGTCACTGCTCGTGATATTAAGAAGGTTAGCTGCAAAATGGATTATGTAATTTATTGTAAAAGCTGAATACTTTTTTTTTTTTTCCTTTTCTTACCAAAAAACACAGATGAAATAAATAATAGAATTCATTTTTAAGTCTGGATCTTTGATTTAAGTTGCAAAAGTAGGTGTTTTTAGCCCCAAAAAAATGGATATTAAAGGCCCACGTAGAAAACATTTGGACCGACCCATTTTGCTCATTTCCAGCAACTAAAAGAACAAGAAGAAACAAGGCAAAACAAGCCCTACTCTGCACTTTTTAGTTCTCCCTCCGGTCGGAGAGGTTCGGCGATCAGTGTGGTCTCAAGTCTTCATCACTCTCTCTATTCGACTGAAATATCCTTAATTTATCTCCGGTACGTACCCTCTTTATTTGCTGTTAATTTTCCCGAGAAAATCCAATTTTCTCGGAATCATTGCCCTTAAAAAAAAAATAACCTAGTTTTATCGCGAGTTGGATTAACTGATTTCTTCGCCTTTTGTTTTTTTGTTCAAATCTTGCGGAGAATTTGGTAAATTGCGAGTGGAGGGTTCAAGAATAGAGCTCAATGGAGCATTTTTTTTTCAATGTTGCATTGGAATTTCTAAATTCGATTGAATGCACTTGTAGCTTACCTTCCAGGAACGGAGAGACTAGGGTTTTTTTAGTTCAGTGACAGCTGTACTTTCAAAAGCTGAATGTTTTGTTTTCATTCAAAGCAGTTTGATTTTCAGTCACATGTATGTGGGTTTTGTTCTTTTAATGACGCAATTTGTTCTTTTTGTATGTGCAGTGCTATCAGTGAAGAAGGCTGATTGATTGAAAAATTCACCTGATTTTTGTTTTCTTCTGGGATTGATTTTAAACACTAGAATGCTGGTGGAAGTCAAGACTCTAATGATTTACATTTCAAGGCAAGAATAATCTCAGTAGTCTTTGGGAGTAGTGGAATCTTTGAGGAGGTACAGCGATAACTTAGAACTCCAGCAATTTATATTACACACACATTCACACACACACACATATGAATTCCTCCTTTTGGTATTCCAGTTATTTGGCATGCGGAATTGACATGTAAGGTTGACAAATATAATCAATGTTAAAAATGGCTTTTGTTTATGCACTATTTCAGAACGTTCATCAATAGCAAAGTCCCCTTAGATGCCTTCCAATCATCTGGTCGGGTGCCTCCCTTTTCAAATACACACTTGTGGAAACCTTGTGAGGAGTTGGCTCCTTTGACCCATGTGATAATTTCACATTATTCTTATGTAATTGCCAATTTACAAGCTTGTATTAAAGAGGTCGGCTGTAAAAGTTGTACAGCCCCTGTACCTTAGCATTTACTTTAGCGACAAGAAAATAAAAAAAGTAGAAAAAAATAAATAAACGAGGAATGGTAATTGGCAGGGTTACATTTAAGTTGTAACCATTCAAATTGAGGTAGAAATTCTGTTAAAGAGGATATCTGAAGAAGTTGAGAAAGTGCTCTAGTGTGATCGTGCCATGTGAACTAGCTTGATCGCATCATGTGCAGTAGCAAGATCAGCGTGATCTTGTTCCGAACCTTGAGCAAAGTGGCCCTGTGAATTGAGACCATTTAAGTCCACTAAAATTTATATTCAATGGTCCCATGGGATGGCATTGCCCTCTGGATGAATTGTTGTGAATTGTTATCCAGAATCCAATTGTGAGCTTTATATTGCTTTGTCATAAGCCCCCATCCTTAGGGTTCTTGACCATCAAACTTGGAAAATTAATTTTTAAGGTGACGAATCCGTCTCTTGAACCATTTATTTCCAGTGTCAATGTTGCCATAAGTTATTCCAGAGTTTCATTCTGATGCATCTGTTTGTGTTGGTTAATGTTTTTCCTTACAAGTAATCTCAATAACAAAGGAAGTCTCACCACCAGTTGATTGTGTCTTCCCAAGAAGCAAATGGTCCCAACTGGGCATTGTTAACAGCCACCATATTTTCTTGTTTCCACTCCATTGTTGATAAATGTCTGGCTCTCTCATGTTTACGTTGTTCCATGCTGTCGAATGCTTACCATCTACTTGGGTCTCTGATATCAAATACTAGATTCCCAAAGGATCATAACAGAAAGGAAGAATATCAAAACAGTTTGGTCTAATGGGTGATCTTCTACCTAAAGAACTTAATATTTGATTTCTTCACCTATGCTATACAAAATCCACAAACTTATTTAGAAAACCTTCGGTCAGAAACTCAGAACTATTTAAGAATCATGTTTATTTGAAATCAAATTCAAACTAATTATTTATATTGGAAAGGTCAATACCTTTACTTATTTTCTTGTAATCTATATCAAGCTGGGTCCCATCACAGGAAAGGACAATTTATTGGACTAGGTAGGTACCTCACGAGGTTTGGCGACCCCTATATATATATATATATATATATATTTAATTGGGTTACTGCAAAACCGAATCATGAACTCTCAGAAGTGGAGAAGATCAATTCCCTTTGATTTGTACTCATGGGAAAAAACATGTTCAGTGCCATTTGAAAGTTTCACATTACATATAAGCTAATGATTAGATGCATGATTATATTAGCATATTCTTGCCAGGTTGTTGTTAGGGTGCATTTCCTTTTAATTTTATTTATCATATTGATGAAAGTGATAATAAGAAGTACGTCGCTATCAAGCAAAAATGATGTATGCTAATTGTAAAACTTTCTACTTTTTGAACTCAATCGGTCTAGTTTTCCGATGTTATCAAAGCTTGTCAATACTCAGGTTTTGATCCTGTCAAAATGTTTTGTGCTTTTCCGGCAGTTTCTGTGAAGATATGGATGGGAACAGGGGACCATTTTTTAAGAAATTTAGTAACCCCCAATTTAAGAAAAAGGGTGGCAACAAGAGAGGAAAATGGCATAATTCAAGTCATCAACAACCTTACGGAGATTTTGATGCTTCAGACACTGTTTATCGGATACTCTGTAATTCTAGAAAGATTGGTAGTGTTATTGGAAAAGGTGGTGGCATAGTCAAAGCCCTTAGAGAAGAGACAAATGCAAAGATTACTGTTGTAGATTCTGTCCCTGGCTCAGATGAGAGAGTCATAATCATCTACAGTCCTTCTGTGAAAATCTCCGGAAAACACAACAGTGATGAGGATCCAGCCACGGGGAAAGAAGATGATCTCTCGGATCCAGATTGCCCAGTCCAAGATGAAAAAGATCTCATGGAGCCACATTGCCCAGCCCAAGATGCTCTATTAAAAGTTCATGACAGGATTATTGAGGAAGACCTTGTTGGTGATATGGATGATGGATCTGATAACGAAAATGTGGTCACTGCACGCCTTCTTGTTCCAAATAATATGGTAGGATGTCTTCTAGGTAGAAAAGGAGATGTTATTCAGAGATTACGAAGTGAGACTGGTGCTAGCATTCGTGTTCTTCCTGAAGAACATCTTCCTACCTGTGCTATGAACACTGATGAATTGGTTCAGGTAATAATTCTCTTGTCCCTTCTGATGCATTATTTTCTTATTTTGTTGTATGCCTTTTACATCTAAATGAAAAGGTGGACCTGAAAAATGGTAGGTGGTAATATTACTGCAGTTGCATATGTAGTATAGAGTGTTCAGAATGGGCACTTCACTCATTTTACAACCACACATCAAAGGGAAACATGATAATAGCAAGCTTGAAATGCTGTACATGTTTGCTTAATGCATCTTCATTCGTACATGTTGTAGACATCCCGTACCTATAGCCGTCTGTTGTTGGTGTGTTGCATATCGCACAGGGAGACTTCACGCATCCAAAAGAGTGGATGTAGCATAGTTCTTTGGAGAAAACTTTTTATAATTTAGGACCAAGACTACACTGTTTAATTTTTCTTTCGCTCCAGTAAAGACAAAAATTTGTATCCCTCCATTATTTAGTAGGATTTCCAAGATGCGTTGTTTCTTCTTGTAATGTTCATTAATTCCAATAATTTGGACTACCTTCCAGTCCTTCCCTTTTGGCCATAAAATTTCCTTGAAAGTTGAAACTGTCTTCTTGACAAGATTTAAGTTAAAACTGGTTATATAATCTTCATGTAGATTGTTCTTTATCATCAGTTTCAAATCTGTGTGCTAGATCAATTTTCTTTGTTTTTTTACTGTAGCCCCCCCCCCCCCCCCCCTTCCTTTCTCTCCAATTATATATATATATATAGGAGTAATATTAAAGATAAAAGAACTTATAACTCCCAAATGCCAAACAATGTTCTATAAATAGGAAATAGTATATACAATCAAAGTTAGTTTCTATGATTGCTTTTGGAAATGTTCTTTTGGGTAGTCTTTTTTTGAGGGGTTGCTCTATGTGCACATGTATATGAAATGCACTGATCCAAAATGTGTGTTTTCTTTAAAATTCATTTGTCTGAGTCCTAGAACAGAGCTGGACATGTCTAAAGATCCTACCCTGGTATTACCTTTTGTCTTTATCTCATTCCTCCTAAAAGTTCTCAAATAGAGTATTGCATAGCTAATGTATACATAACTTGTAGTAAGAGTTCTATCAACTTATTGGTGTACCTTCTAGAAGGTTGGTTAGGGAATTCCACTTCTCAAGTGAGTAAGAGGGGTTTTGTATGAGTTATTTGAATAGACAACAAGAAAAAGTGAAGTTGAGAGAACGACAAGGTTTCCTCTTAGTTTTTCTGTGTATCAACAGTTGATAGACATCATTTCATCTCCGAGTTTCTTCTCCGTTTTGCTATATTCTCAGGAATTTGAGGCTTTGGTCTCTACAAGACTTCATGCCTTGACAAGCTTTTCAATCTTCTGGATTTAGTTTTTTTCCATCTCTATAGCTTTTGAGAGTGAAATTTCTTTATATCTCTTTGTCTTTTTTTCACTTTCTGTGATTGTTCCTTGTTTATGCACAAATCCTTTAGTGTAGTGTAGTTACTTGTTAGTGATTAATTTGTTAGCAGAGTCATAGTTTGGGAGACTGATTTGCACAGCTCCGTTGAGACCTTGTAGTCCCAAGACAAAGATCTCTAATATTGGCATGCTATTTACAGATATCGGGAAAACCAGCAGTGGCAAAGAGGGCTCTCTACGAAGTGTCCACTCTGTTGCATCAGAATCCACGCAAGGACAAAACTCCTTTCAGTTTCCCTATGCCCTATAAGGGCCAAGGTTTTCATCCTCCTGGTCCTATCATGCCAAATATGCACCCTCCAGGAAATCCAATGTGGTCTCAGCGGAATCCTAATCCCCGTGGTATACCACCAATACCATGGACTGGGGGAAACGGGGACCGTTCTCCCGGATTTGGGCGAGCTGGTTATAATAGTGTTCCTGATGCACACAGTGGGGAAGCTCCAAGTGAGTTCTCTATGAAAATTTTGTGCCCTGCTGGGAAAATTGGTGGAGTAATTGGCAAGGGAGGCTTTAATGTAAAACAGTTGCAGCTGGAGACAGGAGCTAGTATTCATGCTGAGGATCTTTCAGCAGAATCGGAGGAACATGTGATTCGGGTGTCTTCTTTTGAGGTCAGCCTTCATCCTTTCTCTTCTTTCTTTCTTTTTTAATTTATAAATTTGGATACATTTTTAGGACACATTGCTATCTTATACTTGATTTGATTAAAATAAGCATTTCTCATCTGGACAAGCTTTTTTATGTTGACTGTCTCAAGATTCGTACAGGCTTTAGCTTATCAATACAACGGTGTTAAATTACTGTACTGATGTCGTTTCAGGCAATGTGGAACCAAAGATCACAAACTATTGAAGCCATTCTTCAGCTTCAAAACATAACAAGTGAATACTCTGAAAAAGGAATTATTACTACTAGACTTCTTGTTCCATCAAGTAAGGTTGGCTGCATTCTTGGACAAGGAGGTCAGGTTATCAATGAGATGAGGAGGAGAACCCAGGCGGACATAAGAGTCTACTCCAAGGAGGATAAGCCTAAGTGTGCAGCGGAAGATGAAGAACTTGTGCAGGTGAGGTGGTCGCAACATGTGAATTTAACAATAATTTCTATATGCCTTTCTTTAATAAGGCTGATTTCTTCTGATGCATACTTGCATTGATTTTTCCATAAAAAGATTTATGATCTAAACAGATCATTATTTTTGATATTTCAGATATCTGGTAACTTTGGTATTGCTAAAGATGCTCTGGCAGAGATTGCATCAAGACTTAGATCAAGATGTCTGCGAGATGCAAATGCTGGACCAAGACCTGGTCCTGATAGGCCAGTTCAAAATTTTGGGCATGCAGAAAGGTTACCTGGTGGAGGGCAACATCCATCTGGCACCATAAGAGCTGGCAGCTCCAGTGGATACGAACTTGAAAGGGTACATTCTACTAAAATCTCCATTTGACAAGCTTATGATATTTCCACTCCAAAGGTCATAATTGAGTCTTTGATCAGTATTTGTTTTTATGATAAAAGGCATCTACCCATTGCCGGTCCCACCTATGCGGGATGCCAATAGTGGAAGACCGGAGTAGACATAACCTTACGCATTATTTTTGCATTAAGTGGCTCCTCTGAGACTCAAACTAGCACCCTCATGCTTACAAACAACAAATTTTTTTTTTTTTTTTTTTTTTTCATAATAATTCCAAAAATTATTCTTGGTTGAACTGTGGCCAAACAACGTTATCTAAATCTGTTGTAATCCTAGATCATGTTCATCATGGTGGTTAGTTTTGAGCATATATAAAAGATAGTATCTTTTTCATCATTTGGCTATTTAACAATACCATGATAATATAAAGAATATAATGATATGGCAACAGTGTAAAAATTCATAAACAATTTATAGTGGAAAGTAGGAAACAAATAATAGTGTATAATTTTTTAGAAGAGAATATAGTGTGATCTTTAGCTTTATGTGTTGATTTCTTGTTTTCTCATAATCTTTATATGAGTCCTTTCTCTCTGTTTATTCTTTTTGCCCCTATTCTTCTCCTTTGGATTGGATTATATATATATATATATATATATATATATATATATTTCTATATATAGATATTGAATGATATAAGGCAAAAACTTGGGAAAGGAATGCATGATCCTAGAGATGGGAATTGCTTCAAGAAAACCATTGACATTTGGGTTAATTTGCTCCAAGGTTCCTCCAATTATTTTGAATATATATATATATATATATATATATGAGATAAGCATGGTTCGCAGTAGATGACGCGGTGTAACGGACTCGGCCAGAATCAGTGTAACGTAACTGGATTGGTTATCGTGGTCATGAATTTTTTGGAACCTCACACATATGTGTCAAAATGCACCGATACGCCACTTTTTGTTACATAATTCTATAAAAATGGATTTTAGTGACTTTTATTGAATTTTTGAAAACTATTTAGCGCAAGTAGTGATCTTTTGGTTTAGTAATTATACTGTTTACTAAATTAATGAATAAAAAAAATTAAGAAGGAGATGTCCATGTGGCTGACCCTGTTTGTACGGGATAAAGTCAAGGATGGTGACGATAAATCTATTTACATGATTTATTATCATATAAATTGATTATATATAATTTTATGTTTAATTATATAAAAGATTTTAAACATTACAAGTTTATACAATTTTATAGAGATGCACAGTTCATAAGATACAAGAAATATAATAATTGTGCACATAATAACAAAAGCAGTAAGGGGCGTGTTGGTTAATGCTCCACTTGATAGTTCCTACCTGGTCCCAACTTCGACCCCTTCTCCTTGCACTTCAACCTTTTTAAGCAAATACTTTCTTCAATGACTTGAGATCTGTATTTGGATCCGAACTGGTGCGGAACGGACCAATTATGCAAAAATGCACCGGCTCGTCTACGGTACTGGCTGATTCATTGCGAACCAGCCAGTTCCGACGTGAGTTTGAAATCCCATTGATATATCGGTGGGACTCAAACTCGGCACCTGCCAAGCCCATTGCTAACCGGCCGGTTTGGCGAACCATGATGTAAGACGAGCTCTTTCAATCACTTTCGATTTTTTTCCTTTTCAAAACCTTCCATATGCAATGCTATATATAGGACCACTAAGGACATTAAATATATTTTAATTTAAATCTAAATTTAAAGAAGAAACTAAATGACTCCTAAAATTTATAAACATTATAGGCACTCAAACTAAAAAAATTGAAGTTCTAAACACATCAAGCACAAAGATCTTTTTTAAAGTCACCATGGATTTGCACCCAAAATCGGATAATCATGTTTGGTAAGAGAACAGAAAATTTCATATGGTGCACTTAAACCACAATCCTTTTTTGTGAATTTAATGCTTTAAAAAAAGATTTTTCCTTGATTGGTTAAGCTAAAAGTTATGGTGCAGATGTGGTCATCATATGCTGACATCGACATGGTGATAAAATGTGCCTTAATTCAGTGACTTTATTAAGCTGTAATTTAGATTTAGGGGGGGGGGGGGGGGGGGTGGCGCGTGGCTTGTGTAAAGTCAGCTCTAACTTATTTGAAAATATCATAGAGCATGTTGTTGGATATAATATAATTAGCTTATATAAGCTTCATAATAACTTCAAAAGGAAGAGATGTGTAACCTGTTCTGAAACGTGTTTCAAAGAACTTCGTGCTCTAGAACTATCCTATATTTTAATGTGTGAATGATCCGCAGATTATTTAATTTATCGAAAATCCAATCAATACCATGTTAGTCTCCTTGATGTGTTTGCAGAGAAATGGATTCAAGCCTACTCTGGATCCCACTCTAAACGTCACTCCTGTACATGATTGACGGGAATAATTCTTGGTCGTAAACCCCAGTTTGTGCTTAAGATGCCACCCAGCCTGGTAATAGGGCCTCCTGAATGTTGTTCCAGAGACATGGGTTCAAGTCTCCTAGAATTTTCTTCAGTGGGTGGGATAGGTGAGTCAGGGTAGTGTAGGGAGAGTCGGGGGCAATTTATCGGAATCAAAACTGAAAACTTAGTACTTCATCTGGCTTTCTTAGAAAAACCCAGCAGGGTGCTAGGGTTGTCCCACCGCTGCCACCTCACCACCACCTCTTCCACTGCTGCCAGGACAAACCACCATTGATTTGAGCACAAACATCAATTGTGGTTTATATTTAATTAAAGGGGTGTGGTGAACCAATGCATTACTTTAAAATGGCTGGACTCATCCTTAATTGTATGAATCTCTTACGTGTCGTTCGGTAGGAAGGAAGAAAATTTGACCGAAGGGAGAGAATAAGGGATGAATGAGACATCCCTAGAGAAAAAATTATGTTCTTCCCTCTTTTGTTTTGTTGGATGGAAGAGAAGAGAAGAAATTGACAATTTACTTTAATTGGTAGGATAAAAGGAAAGAGAGATTTTTAAGTTGTTTTTACCATTAAACCCATTACTTATTTTATTTGTGGGATTTATTAAATATTTATGAAAGATGATACAGTAATTTAAAACTTTTATAATAGGCCCACTTGTCTGCTCTCCTCTCTTCCGTCCATATTTGGACGGATGAAAATTTGTGAAGGAGGAAGGATGACTCATCCATCCTATTATCCTTTCTTTCCTTATGTCATCTCTACCGAACGAAGGAAGTTTGTTCTTTCCTTCCACTCCTCTTCATTCCTTCCTACCTAACAAAGCATTACTAATTATGAACTAAGCAAGTTTTATGTCTAATTTAAAATTGTAATCTCAAGCTTGTTGCTTATATTTGTAGTGCATAGATGCATTGTTATCACAATCATGACATTGAGAACACCATATGAGCTTGTATATTGTTAAATAGAACATTTTTATTTATCCTTAACTCAGAGGACACATCTTTTGAGTAAGTAGAGACTGGTTTGGACATTTTACCTGATAATGTTGTGTTATAGATGCATTATTCTAACACATGAACAAGTTGCTTACTCATTTTCATCTTAAATTCGATGATTCTGAAAATATGCCCATCCCATGTTACTAAAAAATATTGTTGGTGCTGTGATAAAGGGTGGTAGATACGGATACGGACCTTCGAGTTATCCAGTTCCTCCAAGTGGTACCGGGTAGGAGCTACTTCTCTTCAGTGTATTAGCATTTTTATTTCTTGGATTAGTGTAATTGAGAGGATCAAGATCTTTTCTTGTTCCAGATACCCAAACGTCAACAGCTCTATGGAGATGAAATTTCTGAACAACGCTGTACGTCCTGTTGTTGGAACGGGAAGGAGCAACATTGGTGAGGTCAGTATTTATTACAATTTTATGGTTTAATTTGACTTCACTAAGATATTTTATTTGGTCTCTTCTACAGTATAGTTTGTGTGATGAGAATGTAGACTTGAAAAACTTGATGATTGTATTTTTCTGTAACTGCTTGCATTCTAAGTACCCATGGTTGCCTGGAATTATCTCACTGGATTCACTGGAAAACACCTCTTTGAACCACCAAGCCTTAAACTCTATTGGTTTCTCCTCCTCCCACATGGGAGGTTGAGGGTTCAAGTTTCCATTGGGATAATAATCATGTGTTTGTGTGTGTGTGTGTGAGAGAGAGAGAGAGAGAGAGAGAGAGTGCCTATAGTACCAGGACTGGGGTACGCGTCAGGTGCACATATGCATGTATGTATCTGAGTATGTATCAAATCCTTGAATACAAGGATACAACGACAGTGCTAAATAGTCATCTTATTTAATACATTTCTTTTATTTTTTGTAGTGAAATAATGTTTCAATGACATGTAATGTTCAAAATAAATGTTTTAACTCATTTTGAAGTAATTATATAACAGATTGAATGATTAGATATGCTTTTTAGGTGCATATTCAACCAAATGTGTTGGACACATTTCCCATACCCTTGATTGAGTGTTGTACACATGCTTTTGAAGATTTCCATGCAACATAGGTGTGGGTTTAATGTGAATCTCTTACCTCCCACTACAAACAAACAAACAAACAAACAAAAAGGCAAAAAAAGAAGAAGAAAGAATAAACTTCCAAAAGGTGGAGGGTTTACTTGTGGAATATTAGGGGAAAGTCATTTTTGAAACTTTGGGAACTCAGTTTTTGCAAACTTTTTGGAACCTTATGGGTAGTTTTCAGATAATACTGGAAAAGACTTGGGAAATCCCCAGGGGGAGTGATGAGAAAAATGTTTCCCATGTCATTATGTGATCACTGGAAAATATTGCTGGAGCCACTAAGTTTGGTGCCACATATCTTCTCTCTCTCTCTCTTAACAAATCCCTGATTTCACGCCTTCCTCTTTAAATGTCACCAACAATTAACTATATAATTACAATGGTACTACAGTGGCTTTTGACATGTTATAATAAAGATCTAGGTAGAAGATGCCTGAATTCGCCATTGCTTTTTAGTGTTTCAATTAAGTCTGGAATTTTCTGAAACTACTTGCTTTTATGTTTTTTTAAGATTCCACCATTTATGTTTGTGACAAGTATGAAAAAAAGGGTTTATTACTGAAATTCCCCTGAACAATAAACATTTTGCACCTTGCCCCAAGAATACAATTAACTCTGATAAATATTAAAAGTTTGCAAATAAGAATGATTCTGTTCCTTTTACTTATCTTTAAAAAAAGAAGAAAGAAAAAAAAGAAATAGGGAGCAAAATTTTTTATTTTATTTTATTTAATATTTAGCCCATACTTGCACTATTCATTATTTGAACTATCACAACTGGCCTTGAAGACTTAAGGAACAAAATCATTCTTCCTCTCTCTCTCTCTCTTTCTTCTTCTTTTAAGGATAAGTAAAAAGGAACAGAATCGTTCTTATTGCCTTTACTTCAAGTCGAATGGCATAAATGAGGACTTCCTTTAGAATATTATGTAGTAGTATGTTACAGTGTTTTCAGTTTCAATTTTCAATATCATTGCAGTTGCCGTCAATATTTACAGCTTTTAATTGTGGAAGAATAAGCAAAGACGTGTACGGATTGCTAAATTCCTTCCTTTCATACAGATTGCTGGGACTAGGGTGAAGCTTCAAGATCCTCAATCTGGTAATTCTGAATGCATTGTTGAGATCCGTGGGTCATCTGAGCGTTTGAATGCCGCTCATAGTATCCTTCAGTCCTACACCGCTTCTGCCGGACAAAACGTCAATCCTATACAAAGCTCCTATGAATACGCCGATGATCAGCGAAGCACATACCCAAACATTAATACACAGCAACAAGCCCCTTACCAGAACATCAATACACAGCAACAAGCCCCTTACCAGAACATCAATACACAGCAGCAAGGCCCTTACCAGAGCATCTATGCTCAACATGCTCCCTACCAGCACATTAGTTCGCAAGGTTCGTATCCATACTGACTCTAGATTTGGGTATCTTTGTAGCATAATGTGCTCAAGTGTTTCCTTATTTGATAAATGTTGTCGGCGTATCACCACATTAACCGGATGCTTTGAGGTAGTTTTTGAATACTTGAGCTTCTCCTATTGGGAGATCATACATGTCCTGTATTTTAATGGTGTATGGGCTTCAGAAATACCCCTCAGTATATTCTGATTCCTGTATGAGAAAATCGAACATTTGATTATCAGTTATTGTATTTAGATTAGTTATATCTGCTTTAGGGGTGGAACAATGAAAATGAATTGATTCTAAGCAAAGTCCTTCCATTTTATTTAAATAGAGTTTGAATTAGCTATATCATTTTGTATTTCGTTGCATTTTAAGTGGGCTTATTTCACTCCATGCTTGATAGAAGTTCATGAATTTGTGCTATGATTTCACCTAACAAAAAACTATATAGTGGGTGGTTGTAACGGTTTGGGTGCTTGCCCTCTAATTCAAAAGTTTAAGTTGTTAGGTAGTGCTGCAAATCCACCCATATATATCCATTAACTTTTTCATCTGAATCTGATGTGGGATGAGACACTCTAACATTCTCTCCCACCTGAACTTTCAACATCTTTGTTGCAGTCGGACCATCCTGCCTACTTGGGTGGGTCACATCGGACCACCCTGCATACTTAAGTGGGGCTCGGAGTAACCACTTAACGTGACATCGGATTAAGAAATGACCCTGGTTCTGATATTAATTGTAATGGGTTGACATTTGACCTCTAACTCAAAAACTAAGTTGTTAGGTAGTGATGTATACCTACCACACTTCGTCTCTCTCTATATATATGTTTGATGAGACCCTCGCCAATAGTCATTTTGTATTAGTTGCATTTGAAATGGGCTTATTTCACTTCATGCTTGATATGATTTCATGAATTTATGCTATGATTTCACATAACAAAAATCTATTTAAAGGGTGGTTGTAATGGTCAGTTGCTTGCCTTCTAATTTAAAAACTAAGTTGTTGGGTAGCGTTGCATGCCTAGTAACTTTCCCATCTCCATCCGGATCCGACACTTTCGTTACGGTCGGATCATCCTGCGTACTTCGGTGGGGCGCGTCGGACCACCCTGCCTATCAGGTAGGGCTTAGACTCCTTTTAACGGGCGCTTGGCGTGACATTGAATCAATGACTGAGTTTGGTTCTGATATCAACTATAATAGGTTAACGCTTTTCATTTTATTTAAAAACTTAAGCTGTTGAATAATATTGCATACTTAGTTAACACTTATTAACTTACCCATCTAAATCTGCCAGTGTGATGAAACCCTCTACTAGAGGTCATGAATTTATGCTAAGATTCCACCAATCAACCTGTGGTCACGTGGGTGTCACAAAATTTAAAATTACAGAAGAACTGTTCCACTCTCAAATTTTCAGTTCATTTCACCAAGTACAATTTTCCTTTCCAAAATGAAGCAATTTTTACTTCTATATACACACAAACTAAATGAAACTATGTATATTAATCGATCTAACGAAACACCATATAGAAATGGTCCCACTAACATTCATATAGTGGACATCCATATACAGCTGCAATTAATGGTTCTAGTTCTTTTTACCTGTTTGGTAATGTGGTCCCATCAACTCAAATATTCTTATGTTTGTGTGGTCTCCCACTTATTAATATGTTTGTCAAAAGAAAAAAAAACTATTTAATATGCATGTTACTATTTTGTTGTAACCAAACATAGTGTGTAGCTGAAGAAGGGCAAGTTAAACCAACACCTCACTAGGTGTGTTGTACGTAGAGGCAATAAATGTTACGGAGAATAAATTTATAGAGATGACATTTCAAAATATGTTATAAAATACTAGTAACTCATTAAAATACTAAATGCATGGGTATCTAAGTAATTACAGCTTTATTTATTACACATCAGATAATCTCACCATATTGGAAACTAAATGCCATTCAGAATCTTTACAACACAATACATACTAGGACCACTCTCTGATTGCAACCAAGCCAAGAATTAATGCTACCAGTGGTCATTGTAGCATCCTCCAGTAACTGATTTCCCTATCCTCCCCTTCAATATATATATATGTATGTATGTATGTATCGTCAAATACCTATGTATGGGAAAGTTAGGGTGGTCAAATTTTCCCACTATCCAAACAACAACAACAATGAAGCATAGCTGGTGAAATGACTAGAGCTTCACAATCTCTGGGATGGGCACTGGGTACCTATCAATACAGTCATGCCAAGGCCCATCAGTGGGTGTCTTAATGGTGCGATTACACATCCAAACTGCACTGTTACACTTGAAACCACTCCCAAAACCAATCTGCCAAACCCAATCACCTTTCTTCATCCTACCTTTGGCCTCAATGTAGCTCAGCTCATACCACAGTGAAGAAGATGAAGTGTTCCCAAACCTATGCAACGTCATCCTCGACGCCTCCACGTGCTCCCCCGACAGCTGCAGCCTCTTCTGCAGCTCGTCGATCACCGCCCGCCCGCCCGCATGGATGCAGAAGTGTTCAAACGCTTGCTTGAAGTCAGGAATGTAGGGTTTCCACTTAGGGTTAAAGATTTCCCGGCCGATGAGTGTGAAGAGGAAGTGGAGTTGCTCCGAAGCAGGAAGGACTAGTGGCCCAATTGTGGTGATATTCGACTTCAATGCCTCACCAGCTATAACCATTAGGTCTTTAGACAATGAAATGCCAACTTTTCCTTCCCTGTCTTCATCCTCGAACACACACCTATAGGCCTTGTCATCTGACCCTTTATTGGTCCGAACCACATGGACTAACCGGTGCTTGGCTCGCCTCCGTTCACCCCTCTTGTTTGACAAGAGGATGGCGGCGCCACCCATCCGAAACAAGCAATTTGGAAGCAACATAGCTCTCTCCTTTCCTTGATAATAGTTGGGTGTGATGATTTCAGTACTAACAACAAGTGCATTCGAATTTGGATGGATTTGAAGCAAGTGTCTAGCTAAATCAATTGATATCAACCCTGCACTACAGCCCATACCGGACAAATTATAGCTCTTTATATTGCTTCTGAGCTTGTACTTGTTCACCACCATAGCAGACAAAGATGGCGTTGGTGAAAAGAGACTGCAGTTCACAATGAGAATGTCGATTTCTCTCGGCTTAAGACCGGTCTCTGTCATCAATGAATCGATGGCATTGAAGATGACAACCTCGGCTTCGCCTCTAGCTGCTTGCATAGTAGGGTTTGGAGGGATGTAGTGAATGGCAGGAGGGAGGCAAGTCTCTTCTCCGAGGCCGGACCTCTCAAGAATTCGCATTTGGAAGTCTACGCTTTTCGGGTTGTTTTTAAGGATCAGTCTTGAGTGTTCCATGAAGGTGGCAAATGGGACTCGGCATGTCACCGGTGGCTTGTAGCAAGCGTAGTCGATGAGGTAGACCGCGCGGGGCTTGGACATGAAGTAGAGGGTGGCGAGGAAGATGAGAAGGAAAGAGGAGGAGAGGACATGGAGGGGATTGAATTGGAGGGAGAGAAAGGAGTTGAGGATTTGTTGGTGGTGGATGAGAGTGGAGATGATGATGGGAGTGAGCAAGAAGGTGAGGATGTGGTTGATGAGGTATTGATAGCCAAGTTTAAAATACTTGAGTTTCATAGAGCTGGAGAAGTTTGGTAATGTTTGTGGCATTAATTTTTAGAGAGAGAGAGTGGGGGTTTGAGAGAGAGAGAGGAAGAGGAAAGGAGGTGGGGTTGAGGGAGGGAAGGGGGGATGGGGGTGGATTTATAGGCTTAGCTGAAGTGGGGAAGCAATGAATGGAGGCAGATGGGAGAATTAAATGAAGAAGAAAACGCCCCACAACGCTCTTCTTTGGCTGCACTTAATTTATGTCCTAACCTCCTCCTCTAATACTTTAAATGAAAGTGATGACTTCATTTTCACTTTGATGTGTAATATATATACTACTACTAAGTTTTGGAGGAAAATCACCCGATGGTCATTAGAACCTAAGTCACATAAAGTGAGAACGAATTCGAGAGCGAGAACGGCAGAAATAAGTCATAAGTAGTGAGAAGATGACTTCATTTTCACTTTGATTATACACACACACACACACTCTACTAAATTTTCGAGGAAAATCACCTGATGATCATTAGAACCTAAGTTACATAAAGGGGGAGTGGGAGCGTAAACGAAAGCGAATTCGAGAGCGGCAGAATTAAGTCGTAAGTAGTGAAAATTTGAGCAAGAGAATGCGCGGAGCGTGAGAGTTGGAGTGTAAAAGCGACATTTGTTGAAAATAATTGTGTAACTTAAATTAGAACAATTTAATACTTAAAAAAATAGAAAAGAAAATGAGTTAAAATTTATAATATCACATTAAACAGCATTCAATCAGTAAACAAAACTAGGCTGTGTTAGCAATAGTTGGAGATTAACATTCATTCTTTACTTTCTAACACTTGCATTTTCATTTTTTTTAAAAAAAGAAAAAGAAAAAGAAAAAGAAAAAGAAAATAACAATTATTCACACGCTTTCTTTTATCACTATGAAAAGTTTAATCTTCTCCAAAAGTCTCTCCTTGACCTTCTGTCCAAAAAGCTAATAAATATCACGCGGACAAGTACACTAAACTACGGCTTTAGGTGTAACACAATTATATTCCTCAAAAGTGAAGAATAAGTATCTAATTTTGTCATTTTCTTTTATTAAAAATGTAATGACAGAGACACCCTAGCTTTTATATATATCTATATATCTATATCGACCTTACTTATTTCATGCTTGTTGCATCCACGACAGTTGCGGGAATAGGCGGAGTCAGGATTTTATTTCAGAGGGATACAATGCCCTTGTTGAAAAAAAATAAAATAATAAATATGACAAATATGAAGTATAATATTTTTAAATCAAAAAGGCAAATAAGAAAAAAATAATTGTAAAATTATATGCTAAATAAATACTATTAAAAAAAAATATAGTTACAAATATAAGAATCAAAATATTAATTAATAATATTTTAATTAAATACAATCACAAATGTTATTGATAAAAAGAAATAAGTTAAAAAAAATAGAAAAATACATAATCATACCGAAGGGAAAAAAAGAATTTTTTTGAAAAAGGAAACAAAAATCAGAAAAGAAAAAATATATTGTATACTTGAAGAAGGGATATATGTAACTTTTTTTTTTTTTTCAAAAGGAAATTAGAAAATTAGAAAATTTGGGGGGTGGGGGACACTATTTAAAATTACCATGTAAGTAAATGTATATACCAAAAATTTATACCTATGTATAATATGTTGGAGCAAAGTGAGGTGGAGCATGTGCCCCTTTTGGACCTTAATTGACTCTGCCCTTGTTGGGGGTACGTAGTTGCAAAAGTTGTACATCAGTTTAATTGTGACCATTAAATTATATTCTTTAAGCTAGATTTGGGGCCACTAATTTATAGTATGGATATGGCACATCATTCTTTTTCGCTTCATAAGTATAAAGTATTCCATTGTCCATTTTGATGAAAGGATTAAGTCTTTAATGTAGAGAATTCATTTAACTTCCATAATTCATGAAAATTGTATAGAAACAACCTGATTTAATAACTCTCCAATAATTATGAGTAAATTATTATAGGGAGATGATGCTTCCACTCCATTTATTTATTATTATTAAACACATTTAAATTCTACAATTATCATAAAATGTTAAATCCTACACTCCACATTTTGGGCTATTTTTGTCTTTTCATTTATTAAAAAATTCAAGTAGAATGCAGCGCTACACAACACCATTAAATCGAGAATGCTATAAAGATGAAGATGTCTTGCATTCTTAATTTAATAATCTTGTAATGTTACAAAATACTCCCTCTGTCTCATAATAGATGTTCCTCTTGGGGAGTAGAATTTTTTAAGGGGGAACATGTAATTAATGCATTTTTCCCTTTAAAAATTACAAAGATACCCTTTCAAGTTTATATATATATATATATATATATATATATATATAAAATCAAATTTGAATTTTTTTTTAAATTTTAAGGGTATTGTATGAAAATATGTGAAATATATTGTTTAAACTTGGCAAGTGAACAATTATTTTGAAACAACCCAGAAAGGAAAGATGGACAACTATTATGGAATGGAGGGAGTACATGTACCTTGTTAATTTTATTGATTTAAATTGTACCGGATCATCCACTCCATCGAGCGACAAAAATTTCATTGTCTTGGTGATATTACATTTTTTGTGTCATTAATTGATTATATCTTGTCACATAAATAAAAGTGTTTTGTTTTAATAGTTCCTATCAGTGCTAGTCAACATTTAATCAATTCATAACACCTTGTCATTAATATAATAAGAACAATAAAGTATTTCTTGAACTAAGATTCCATTTCCAGGCAGGTTATGTGAAGGTCGTAGTTGAATACCAACTAGTGAAAAAGAATGTTGAACAAATCGGTGCTTAAACTAAAGCTTGTATGGGTACCGAGTTGACAAAGGTTTAACAAATACTTAATGCCTTCTCATTAGACTAATATAAATGGTGCAACTGTAATGGACTTGTGTCAGAGCTACTACACCTACAATAACAAATTTGTACACCGTTAGATAATGGTTAATTATTTATAAAATATATAAGATCATTATATGTAGAAAAGTTTGATCATATGTAATTGTCACACAACCAAAAATTAAATAAATAAAAGCCTCACAAGAGTAGCTGATCAGCTTCCATGGGGTTTCCATTAATATGAGGTTTATTCTATCAGTATCCCACACTAGACAGACATGATAAAAAAATTGCAGTAGAAAAGGTTTAAGAATTGTAGGGTCTGAAAAGAGTCACATGTACAAGAAGTTTTTATTATATGATCCTAGCCAATCATGATGACACACTTTTATGTCACAAGAAATTTTTACATAATTTATAATTACATGATCCTAGTCAATCGCAAGAAGACACGTATACATAACAATAAATTTTTACACGGTCCTAGTTAATTATAAAAAAACATATAAGTAAACGTGTGAACGTTATTCAAATTTCATTTACTGATGTCTTTGTGATTGGCCGAACCATATAATGATGGTTCATACACAAACTCTACCTCCTTGCATAGAGATGCTAAGTTTAGCCCCATCACTTAGATAAACATTTTAAACTGCTACACAAAATACGAAACGGTGGTCAAATGCTTGCTTAATTTTTTAACATTAGTAATTGCAATAATTATTGGAAAAAAAGTGTAATGATTCGATTTCTATATCATTTTTTTAAAATGAATTTTGATGCTATTAAATTTAAAAAGTAGTCAATAAATTATTGCAATAATTCTTTAAACAATGAATTTTGATACTATTAGATTAATTAGTAGTCAAAAAAAATTTGTTGTATGTGACACGTTGAGAAAGTTTACATATTATCGCATTAATGATAATAAATATAAATCATTAATCGACTTCTAATTCTGATTTGTGTGATAAGGCGATCAGAAAAATATTTGCCACATTTAAAATTAGTTTTTCATGTATATTAGCTTGTATGAAAGGAAGAAATCTGTCCAAACAGCTGATTCATTAGACAGAGTCACAAACAACGGAGCTAGAAAGGATCTTACCCCATCTAAAATTAGCTGGGATGATAGCTCACTGTGTAGCATAACAGTTCTAAAGAAAATGGAACTCAAAACTCAACTATTTATAGTCATAAAAAAAAATATCATACACTTGTCTGCAATTCGCAATTAAAAGATTTAGAATCTCGTAAGTACAAAAATCATCTAGAATCTCATATATAAATCATCCAGAATCAATCTCATACTCTTTATTCAATACAATTTACTTACCTATATAAAATTACAATTATGTACATGTATGTATTTGTATTAAATTAATGCATGAATCGCCTCTCTAACAAACATAAACTACATAGAAACACCTACAGGCTACAGACACATGCATGCATGAACGAATGGAATCAAGCGAAGCAAGATGATTTTTAACTAGGTCTGACCGGATCCAATAAGTTACTTAGGACATGTTTGGAGAGAAATGGGGCAGTTTGGAAGGGCTTTTCTGTATCATATATAAAAGGCAAACCAGAACTCTTTACATGCAATAACTAATCATGGACGTAAAAAAAAGTTATAACAATTAGCACTGGATAATTAGTCTAAATAGACATTAGTCCGTGCGATAGAATATGCAGTAATCACATTGGGACCACGCATGTTTAAGTTTAAGGATAAAGTGAACTTGTAAGAAATGGAAACATATATGATGTTACATATGGTAGGTGGTTATGAAATGAAAAACCATTTGAATGTTTAGTTATACATGGAAGACAAGTACATGTACGGTAGTGTCTTCAAGTCGACTAAAATTCTCTCTGTCGAATTTTCTGTGAAATTAAATTTAAAGGTGGAGAGAAACTCATGTCATTTGGTAATTCATAGAAAGTGTTTTGTCAATCATTAACAATGACGTGGGCTTCTCTTAGTATTTAGATCTAGTTTCACCAAAAATATAAAGGTTACCTATGGCAGACATGAAATTGTAACTTTAAAATTGAAATTAGTGAAATTGAAAAAAAGTAATTCAGAAAATTGAATCAAAATTTTCTCCAATTCTACCGATTCTAATTCCATGCCTCCAAGCACAGCCAAAAGAGATTCCGCTAGAGAGAATTTAAATTAGTGTCTTTAAACTTACCTCATCCAACAAATGATCGTGGATGAGAAGCGCGTTAATACGATTGGTTCATCCAGCAGATGAGGGATGAGAGGTGTGTTAACTATGATTGGTTGATAGTAGTGTTTGGTGTGGAATTTGGTTTAGAAATTAAATGGCAAATGTGAGCAGGTTCCTTGATATATTGTTAAGAAAACATAGGAATCAAACCTTCACTACTGCATTTCCTAACAGTCAACATATTTAAGTTAAGAATGTGTTCCATACTTTAACAAACATTCAATTATAAAATCTTCCAATCTTCAGAATTTTGATATAAAACTTGCAATGAATCCTTACACGAAACTAAACATTACCATTCAGTTCAAGAATTGGGAGGAATTCAACTTAACCACTGATTGGTCAACGATTGATTGTTCAATGGTCTTCAATCACCCACGTCAGCGATTGTGATTTAATGTGCTTGATAAGAGGAAGTGTATCAACCGTTCAACCTCCAACCACTATAGCATGATCAAAACAGACGTGAACTCCCACTGCAAATTTTAGCACATGTTGTTGCATCCAAATTTGGCTCGCTAAATTGAAGGGGCTGTTTGGTTACCACTTTTTGTTTGTCATAATTTTGTTCTTCATAATTTTGGATTACAAAACATGGCTGAGCTTCGTTAAAGACAAGTTTACTCCTTTTGGCCAATTAAAACATTTGGCTAGAGTATCATGCATTTTGTTAGATTACAAATTTAATTTTTTACCTATTATTTAGGTGTGTTTTTTTTTTTTTTTTTTTTTTTTTTTTTTTTGCATACTACAAATTACGATATATGATAATACCTACCATATTATTATCTATGGGTTACTTATTCATTATTCACCTACTCCCAAATTATTATCTATAGGTTATTAATTTATTGTAGTTAACCATCAGCCCCCGACGATGCTCAACTTTCAAACTTGTGCTTCCGCATCCCATACTTCAATCTCAAGGTCATATTCAGCAAAAACAAGTTCATAATCATTAGCAAAAACCTTATTTGGCTGCCCAATTAGCCTCCAAGGCATATCATCACAATTTCACAGCAAAAGTGTCATAATTCCGCCTCATCAGTGCTTCATCCTCAAACACAGTCAACAATGGTGTTAGGTAGTAGTGCATCTCCTGCCACGACAGTTGCCATGTCAGACACAGCTAACAGTAGTGCCAACAGAACAGTAGTGCTATATCACCTATCACGACAGTTGCCATGTCAGATATAGCCAGTAGCAATGCCAACAGTAGTGCCACATCAGCCTGTTAACCGTGCCTCCATTTGTATCATGGGTGAAAACCCATCTCCATCATGGCTACTTTCATAATCTTACCTTTAATCTCAAGTTGGGCTTATACTCTCAACTTGGTTTAGATTACAAATTTACCTCTTTTACTTATCACCTAAGTTTCCTGCATACTACAAATTATCATATATACCTACAATAATACTGGGGGTGACAATTTAAGCACAAATCTATTAAACCGCCCAAGCTTGCCTAGTAAAATTAAATCATTTGGGTATCCAAATTTAAGTAAGTGTGTTAATAATGGGTAAAGAGTGAATACTCATTCAATTCAAAGGTCAATGGCGGGTTAAGAGTGGTACCCATCTTAACCCGCTCAAACAAAATCTTTTATTTATTTTTTTTCCTATGTTTTCTCTCCTTTTTCTATCATAAAAAAGAAAAAAGAAAATAAATTATAAAGCTTAAATAAAAATTTAATATAAAAACAATTTTTCTTTTTTATTTATTATTCAACAATCATAATAATAATAATAATATTACTAAAAGTACATGTATTCTAATATTATTAATATTAATATTTTTTGTTTCTATCTCTTCTCCTTTTTCTCTCTCCTATTCGCTCTCCTCTCCATTTCTCTCTCCTCTCCATTTCTCTCTCTCTCTCTCTTTTGTAAGTTGTATGGTGACTTTTTCCCAAATAATAATAATAACAATAATAAATAAAAGGAAAAAAAATTGTATCAAGTGACACAAAAAAATTAATAAATCTAATATAATTTTTTTTTTTTTTTGATATTCAACAATTGAAATAATTTGACAATTTGTATTTGAGTAATTAGGTCTAGCCCATTAAACACCCAACCCCTTTATAACCCATCGATAATGGGTTATTGACCCATTATTGACTCGCTCATGATCAACCCAAAACCTGTCCAATTGCCACACCTACATATTACTATCTTATATATAAGTTACTTTCCATAATTTAACTCATCTCATACAATAGACGAAGTTGACAGATGCACTAGCGATTGGCTTGTCCGGGAATGATCGCCTGGGTTCCTCAAGCTTGGTATCCTGCACTTCGCGTTCATGATACATACATTCAACTGTTCCCCGAAGACACGGATTCAACTGTTCCCCGAAGAAACGGTTGAAGCCTGCCCAATGTGCTGCTTTCACATGGTTGAAGGACTAGTGGCATCTTGTAACGGGTGAGCGCTCTTACCCAAAAACTTAAACTGTTGAATAATGTCACATACCCACTCATTTATACCCCTTTCACTTTCCATTCGGATCCGACGTGGAACAACTACCCACTTATTTATACCCCTTTCACTTTCCATTCAGATCCGACGTGGGACAACTACCCATTGTAACACATCTCCTCTGCCTCTCAAAATGAATGGCAACACTTGGAGTCCCCAAAGGGCAAAGTGGGGCATGCACGTAGTGTGTTTTTCTTGCCAGTGAAAAAAAAAAAAAAAAAAAATCATGCCTAGCGTGCTGCTTTCAGCTCTAGTCCATTTGAATTCAAAAACAAGAAAATACATTCCTACCCAGGAGAACAACCAGGAACAATTTGCCCAGCTTTATTGTTTCTCAAACAATTAGGCACTATCAACCATGCCCTCTTCCACAAATACATGACAGCAATTCAAAGCACAAGACATCGCCAACAAGTGTAAAAGTGGAGAACAAATTTTCAGTCATGTTGGTTGGTGTGTGAGTGCGCGTGCTACTGTGTGTATAAACAAACATGTTCAATTGAACCAAGCAAATGCATATATGCTCAATCAACCACAATATCATCATATATGTGAGCAACATTTTATCAGGTTTCAATGGCTGCAAATAACAAAAACAAATAAAGAAGGGTGGGGAGAAAAATTAAAATGAGAAGCAATTAAAATCAAACACAAAAACAAAATAGATAAGATTCCTGGGTAAAAAGAGGATCAAAACAGCCAACCTGAATAGGACTCTTCCTCTAATAGACATATTTCAACAGTTACAAATATGTGAGTAGAATTCTTACTCTAATTGACATATTTCAGCAGATACAAAAATGTGAGTTCACCGCTTTGATTCCGTCTCCATTTAAATTTAAAAGAATAATAAAAAAATTAAAAAAAAGGACCTAATCTTCAGGGAGGGGGAGAATTAAAGGTGCTTTTTTTCTTTCAACAAAATAGACTGCTTCGACAGCATCCATTGCTTTGTGTTGGTGTAAATAGCAAGCAACATGAACTGAGAGAAGCAAAGAAGCATAATCAAGGCTTCGAAGAGGAAAGGATACTTCTCAGGTGGGCGCATTGTCAAGTAAACAATATGAAGAATAAAAGAGCACAAAACAAGAAAGGCCATCACAAATGACTTTAAAGTGGCATGAGAATCTGTCATGCTTCTTGTATCTTGTCTTCCACCAGGTGCATAATAGAGGAGGAAAAATAGAGCAAATAGAGCTATATAAGGCAGAACCAATTTGTCACGACACAGCAAAGGGAACATGGAAAGCAACGCATAATGTGTGATCCAGCTGAAAAGAAAAGGCTCTTTCAGGGCCAACAAGCTTGCAGGCAGAAGCGGCAGCAGAATAGACTTCTCATGTACTGTCATGTTAACCACCAATGCAAACAATTGTTAAACAATGGGAATTTCAAGATGAATACAAATCTTAAGGGAAGACAAGGATATTTCTACATACCTTGAAAGGAGAACAAGTAAAATGAGAAAGAACTATTTAGCAGCCCGTATAGGAAACCTTGGTTACTTGGAGCTCGTATTTGCTGAATCATTGAAGGAAGACAAGAAATAACTGTTGCACCAAGACTGAGAAGCTTCATTGATTGTACTGTGTACAATCTTTTCCACTTTATAAGGACTGAAGTAGTGCACCAAAAGTTAGCCACATAATCTTCATATATCCCTCTCTCAAAGGGAGCTAGACGAGAGAGAACCTGCAACAAGCAGCGAGTTTAATGGATAAATCATAACTTGAAAATAAGTGTACAACAATTAAGTCAAATTGGAGAAGAATATATCTAATTAATAGCGGTTATCATTTTTTAGCAGCCAATAACCAATTACCTCCAAAAATGCATCCATTGAATGAAGATATGGCCACCATACGAAAGCAAATGTTCCTACGACCACCATGCCCAATTTTAACACCTCAAGAAGTGGATACCGTCCCCTTAGGCACTTCCCCAAGAGATAACTGAAAAATGCAGGTGCAAAATATGCAGTCATCTGCACAATTACAATTACAACCAAACTCAGATGACCAAGAAGCCATAATAATGTGTAAATTGATTTGTCATTTGTTGACTCCACAGATCACACTTATTAGCATATGTTAGCACTCAAATCTAATCATACATTAACTTATCAAAAAAAAAATCTAATTGTTCATTAAAAAGTATGCCCCTCAAAATCAAATAAATTAGTAAATAGTCCTTGTAAAAAGATACTGGACACTTGATAAGCATGAATTAATTCCATGCTCAAACAATAGAAGAACAAATCCACACTTTAGCTCAACCGACGTGTTTTAATTCCACCAAGTAACTGAGGCATTCAAGAATATAAATCTCATGTTAATATTGAATGATATGTTTCATTAATAAACTAGAAAGATAATATGGTAGATCTGTGAAACATGGATAAATTAGAAAAATAAAAACAAATAAGCTGGTGACAGCAACTATCTAAATGAGAAGGCACCTGTTTATGATTGAGTGCAAGACTGAACAGGACACAAGCTACAAGGTCTCTATTAGAGAGGATGGCAGCAACAGCTCCAACAGTAAGGCCTAAGCTAATACAATTGTACTGACAAAGAAACAATTTAAAAATGAGAACATATGGAACTCTCATGATTCAAAACCGAAGCATAGAACTTAAATAATGATAATGAGGGGAAGGGGTCGACGAACAGAAAATTTGATTCCACACCTGAAAATGACCATGATCAATTAGGATCAAGCACGGGCTCAGTAAAATCATAGTGATATGCCATGCCAAATTGATTTTACGTCCATTGGGGCGACCAGAGTAGCACACAATAACATAATAGAGAACTGCAGGAAAGAATATAAGGGCATCAGAGGACAACGCTGTCCACCTCATGAGCAACTTTCTGCACATAGCCATGGTTGAAAAGGTTGATTTTAACATTCAGACACTAAAATGGTGCCAAAGTAGAAAATTGAAGTTGGTTTATGATACACACCCAAGATATGATTCATGGCCCCGGGAAGTATAAAGCAAAACGGAGTCTGGATGGAAGAATCTTAGGAGAAGACCATGAACATAACTCTGGTAGGCAGTAAGGGGAGGGTAGTCAAGTCCCCAGTAGCTGAGATCATTGACGGTGCTATTGTGATACCATTCCTTGGCCGGAAGATTGACAGTGATCTCCATCCAATGCCTCTGTGCTTCAAAGTCCCCATACATGGGTGGATTACCAGCACCAGAGTAAGGATGAATGGATACAGCCACTCTCACCAAAAGTGCAAACAGGCTGATACAAAGAAATGAAGCTGCAATACCCTTGTGAACCAACCATCCCCAAATATTATTGTCATCACCCTCTCCATCTTTCAATGTAGCCATGCTCTTCCTGTTTCTTCCAATTTCACTTGGTAGCAAAGTCTATCAAGTTTCCATATTTCTCAATAGTTTATTAAAGGGCTGCAAAAATGAGAGCATCTCAAACATTCAGGTAATGCACACCCAAAAATAAAAAAAATATCATGATAATAATAATCAAAAGAATTAGAATCTAAGAGCCAACAAAACTGGATTTCCATATAGAACAAACTGCATACTATACTTAAAAGTCATCAAACCCAAATTGGATGAATCCCATCTAGACCGGACTAATGATCAGGCTCAAGAAGGGTTTGAAACAGTCATAATAAGTATTAAAAAAAAAAAAACTGTTGAGAATAAGAACTAATTCTCCAAAACCAAATCAGATCATTGTATGCAAACCTGAACTCAACCAAAGCCAAGTCGCCAACCCAAGTGAAATAAATAATTGTATAACACCAGATAGTGATAACCCAAACACAACCTCAGAGTTTCTTCTACCATTAAATTACTAGAATTATAAATTCAGTATATCTTCACCACAGCATATCCAATAAAAGAAAGACTCAAACACCCTAAAAGAGAACCCAAAAAAAAAAAAAAACCATTTGATAAACTAATACCCATATTGATTCAAACTTCGAAAAATTCAATAAATTAAATTGGTAATTTTTCAAACAAAAGAATACCATGAAGACCATATTCAACTCGGTAAGTGAGAATCAATAAAAGAGCAAACCAAACTTACATACAGATAAATTTGAACAGATTGATACAGAAAATTTGAGGGCAGAGTAAGAAACTCACCAAATAACAGATCTTTCTAGGACTTGTGAGCTGTTGCACCACAAATTCTTCAATCACCAAATCAGTATGCTGAGAGATTGAAAGGTAATAAAAAGAACCCTTTTTCCTTTCTTTTTGGTACGTAATTAAAGGAAGACTTTACTACATTGCAGCCTCGGAATACTGAAAATTCGATAGAAAATGGAGATGTACAGTCTCTAGGGTTAGCCTCTCTCCAACGTTTGGGAAGAAGAAAGAGAAGCGGAAGTGAGGAAGGAAGTGGGAATTTTTGTTTTTTTTCTATTGGCAGGAAGGAGAGGAGAGGGAAGAAAGGAAATTCGTGGAATTATACTTTTTTTTTTTTTTTCAAATACAATATTCACACTTTATTTTATCTTCTTGTACTTTACGACTAGTATTTTAAAAAGTTCACTTAAACTAATATACTCAACTATTATTTTAAAAAATACCTTTCACAAATTTGTTAAAATTTTTATATAAAGTACAAGCATATAAATTCAATAACTCATTTTGTGTCTTTTGTGTGGCACAAATTTTGTGATATTTGTGTACTTCTACTTTAACCCTAACCTATAATTTGAAAAGTAAAATTAGATTACAATTTGACAAACCTTCTACTTTAAAAAGTAAAATTAGATTACAATCTTACAAGTATATCCACTCCGACCTAGTTTTTCTTGTCAATTAGGGTTATATTAGAAACAAATGATATGTTTGGTTTGTAACTATGAAAACAGACATTCTACTTTAAAAAGTAAAATTAGATTACAATTTTACAAGTATATCCACTCCGAACTAGTTTTTCTTGTCAATTAGGGTTATATTAGAAACAAAGGATATGTTTGGTTTGTAACTATGAAAACAGTTTTCTATTTTCAGAAAATTAAAAATAGTACAAAAATCTTTGCTTGGTTCAGTTTTCAGAAAACTATATTTCAGAAAACTCAATTATAAAAATGTCTGTTTTAAGATAATTATAAAATATTGTTATCTGAGAACGGTTTTTTGTTCTCTGAATTTTTTAGAACTACTTTCAGAGTTACAAACTAATTAAACTCAAAATATTCCAAGTTTCCCTAAATACAACCGAAACTTTGATAGAAAATATTTTCAAAATTCTTGGTTAAATTTACAGAACTTGTCAGTATTTTGCTTCATCTCTTTTGCAGAAAGTGCATGCATGCATCATTCTCTATTTTATGCCGGGTTCCTTCCCTTTAAGAATTCAATTGAAATAGATGGTCTTTAATTATTCTCTGTGCCCTAATATGTACATATCAGATGCAAACAAATTACACAGATCACTTGTGTGGGAAAAAAAAGCTGGTTTCTATTTATTACTTCTATTTTGATTGAATAATGCCACTTTAACTATGTCATAAGCGTATGGTATTGGATGTCGGTCTCATGTTTATAAAAAAATAAGGGCATGGATGAGAGAATTGAATCACACTACACAAATTTAAGGACAGTAACGGACAACCTTGCTCTTCTGGATTAAAGTAACTGTTTGCAAAAATTTCCCCTCCAGATGAGAAGCAATTATTGCACATAGAATACACAGGAAAGTAGAAACAAAATCTCCTGTTATATATATAATTGATTAGATTCTCCCACATAAACATTCAAAAAATGTTGAATTTCGATTCGACTTTCTGATAGAATTACTCGCGGTATGGTGCCTGGAGTAAATTGAGTAATGAACACAATACTTCATTAAATATAAGGTCCCCATGACAAATACTTCAAGTTCTGTCAATGTCCATAGATATTCCTAGTTTAGCACTATTGTCTTGGCTTTTTGGTAATCCTGAGCTGTTGCCACTATCGTCACAACTGTTAACGCTCTCATTTTCAGTCATTTTGGTTCCAACATCTTTATCAGCTTCCAGATGCTGTTCGCTGTGTGTGGGGTTGGTGCTCTCAATTTCAGTGATTTTGGTTCCGACATCTTTGTCAGCTTCCGCGTGCTGTTCACTGTGTGTTCTAATATTTGCTTCCCTGTTCTCAAAATCAGAAAATTTTCCAGGAGGCAAAGGACCCGAGGTTACTTGAAGATCATTCGTTTCATCTTGGCCCTCCTTACTACGCTCACCATCCTCAGGTACATTGGTTTGAGATGTTACTTTTGCATCTTCATGCTTGGGAATTGTACCTTTCTCGTGATGGTGATCATCGGATGGGTTAACTTCTTTTTGACGATCAGTATATCCTTCTGCAACTTCAGCAGATTGCAGATTAAACATGACCTGGTCAGTTTCATGGCTTGGACGTGCTCCAATTCTCTCCTTATGGTGATCATCAAATGTTCCTGTATCTCCTCCTCCTGCAACTTCAACAGACTGAAGATGAGAAAATGCCAGATCATTTTCAGGATTCAGCACTGCTCCAGTTCTCTCCTCATGGTGATCATCGGATGGCTCAATATTTCCTTCAGCAACTATTACAGATTGATCAGACAAGGTTTGATCAAATTCATTGTTTGGCACTGCTCCAACACCAGCCTGCTCAGAATCATGGCTACCCGGAGCAGCTTCATTTGTTGAAGCGGGAAAAGACTGAAAAGTGTCCCAATCATCTTCATCCTCATCACCTTCATCCTCACTATTGTTATCAGAGTGTTTGGGGGTTGATAGAGGAGAATCTCTCTCTCTACTATCCTCTGCTTGGGCGGGTAACTTTATCACTAGAGGTGGTGTCGATGATTTTATTTCCGTTGCACTCTGATCTTGCGTTACTGAAGCACGAATGATAACCTGAAAGTACAAAATTGGTAGTCAAATTGAAATTTTCGTTCATTAGTACTGGGGTTTATCATTGAGAGAAAAAAACCAAATGTGCCAACTATTAAACTCTTCATATCATAACTTCCGTGTGGTTACAAGGTCACAAAAGGTCAAACAAATAATATTGACACATTTCAACAGAATTCGGTTCAATTAACTCCAGAGTCTTCAAGAAATATTAAATTAGAATTGAGCATCTGCTAAAGTTTTCTTATGTTAGGTTTAGAAAGAACGTAAAACTTGCAAAAACTACAGTACTGAAAATGGTTGATTCAATTAAGTTGTGTTTTCAGGAACAATACGTAATATATTTCTTTGGTGTATGCCCACTGGATTCAATTTTTTTCTTTTTTCTTTTTTTCCCTCCCCTTGCCAAGAAACTCACACCCCCATTTCCTCACCTTCCACTTTGGGAGGTAGAGGAGATACCACTAGGCTACAGCCCTTCGTGGATTGATTTAACAGAGGGGAGTAGACAACTTGACTAAGACAATGAAGCCATGAATATCCAAGAAGTTCACAGTATTACAAGAAGAGGAACTGTCAGAAATAAGATGATTGTTTTCTCAAAAGCCACATGAAATATCAAATCATTGTCCCTCCGGATCAAGGCTATGCATATATTAAACTGGGGGACTGCAGATTTTTCAATTTTGATTCAGAAAGAAATGGTACCTGAAGCTGCTGCCTGTGTGTCAAAGGCATTGCTAACAAGACGTCCTTGAAATAAACTGCTGAGGAAGGAACTTGAGCAAGCTGAGAAACAAGTTTCACCGCTGTACTTCTTAAATCATTGACTTCCTGTCATCAACATGGATAATTAGAATAGGGTGAAAAAGGAGAGTCAAATTTAATTTTGGGGAGTAGCCCTACTTGAACATGACCATCTTCTGATGTTGAGATAACCATGACAATAGCTTGCAAAAGAAGATTCATAAGATCTTTTTGACATTGACTGGCTTTAGACAGTGTCTGCAGAAGCATTAAGATTCTCAAACACTCCCCAGCGATGAGCACTGCTTCCCCCTTTATGGGTTTCTGTAATTAAAACCATACATGGCTCCATCAGAGTGATGAAAAATGAAGTTTGAAAAGTGAAATATTTCACTTAGAAAAGAATACCTTCAACATATTCTGGATAATAGTAAAAATATCTGTAAAAAGCTCCCCAACGAAGAATATTTGGAAAGAGTTGCTTTCCACATTGGCACCTCTCAGTACCATGCTTTTTAGCACTTGCAGCCCAATTGCTTGAACCTGCACACCACAAATTCCCACCAGAAGTCGTTCTGTGCTATAAAGAACAGAAACTGACAATGCCTAGATTCTGCATGCATTTGAAACTCATTACCTGTATGTCAGAATCAGTAAGAACAGTCTGGATACATTTAGTGCAATGTTGCAATACAGTAAATAAGATGGGATGACTCTTCTGGTCCTCTCCAAGACATTCAACTTCATAAGCCAGTCTAGCAATTGAAGAAATTTGTTCAAGAGAGAAAGCAAGTTTCATTTGCAGTAGTTGACATGAGTCTGACCTCCTATCCTTCAATAGATGAATGCTATTAATGCAATCACTAGCTAAACTAGCAAGCACATCTAGACAACCTCCAATTATTGTTCTGAAGTAGCAAATGCCATCATCACCAAATCTAGATTTATCTGTAACAAAACATTCCATCAGCTAGCTACTTGACATTTTTACCAAAGAAAAAAAAGAAGAAAAGAAAGAAAGAAAACCTAGTTAGGACAACACCTAAAGCCAAGTGCTAACCAAAGTTCCAATTCAAGTTTGATCACCAAAAAACAATAAGACTTTCCAAACAATTGCAAAGGAAACTTGTCAAGTTTTAACCAATGAAAACACCCACAGAATAAACAAAATAACTGCTGAAAATAAAAACTAGCACACCAAATTGCACCCAGAATATCCTTGCCTCTGACCCGATAAACTTTGATTAAAAAAGCTCTTGAAAATATTTTGATACGAAGATATGACAATCTGAACTGAAAGTCCAAAAGAAAATCCACTAAAGCACCTCCAAATCTTGCCAAAAGGCTGCAGAACTGACACAAGTTTTCTTCGAGCGCACAGAGAGTCAAATATTTAGAAACTGTGACCGGCTTGTGAAATGAAGAAAACGCAAATATCTCCCTCCAAATTTTCTTCTCTCATGAATATTGAAGTGGGTCTCTTTGTTTTGGACAAAACAATCATATCAGGGCAACCCTCTGAAATATGTACGAGGGTCATGGACAGCTGAAATTAAAAAAAACCGAGCAACAAGAAAAATCTTGTCTGTGACATCATGACACCATTTTAATTTTTCTCCTCAAACTGTCACTTGGATGAAAATTGCGGTAGACGACGAAATTAATCAGCACCATGAAAATTTCAAAACAGAAAAATGAGAAATTTTCTGAAACAACTGAGAATTTACCAAAAATACACTCAAACTTGTAATATTATAGAACTACCCCTGAGTTGGAACTGAGGATTCCGGTCCCAGATAAATTATCCAACTTTTCAACTTAAGAACTCTAAGCTGAAGATGGGTGTACCTACCTAAGGATCAACTGACAATAGGTAAGATGTCAGACCTTTTTCTTTTCCTTTCGATTTGCAGGATACATCTGCATCATAATATGATTAATATATTTTCTTATTCAATGAAGTACTTTGTTGCATGCAATATTACATATCCAGATGATGTAAACTCATCAGGCCACGTGATTGCACATTGATTCATGTAATAGTAATACGCAACCCAAAGCCCCCTTGATAACAACAGGCTAAAGGACGCCTTAGACCTTCAGAGAGGCCAAAAAAACAATAATTTCCTCCGTAGATCTATAATCTCTCCCTGAAACTCAGCAAAAAAGAGTACAAATAACAGAGAACTTAAGCATAGAAACAGGCTTCTCTTTTTCATCAAAATATCTCCTATTTCTCTCGAGCCAAATACACCACCAAATACAAAGCAGCGTAGCCCTCCAAGCATCTTGAACGGAAGCCCCAACGGATACGCCTCTCCAAGCTTCAATCAACCCTCTAGAAGAACAAGGCATAACCCATTGAACCCCAAATAAACCAAGCATCAAATCCCAACAATCTCTGGCCATACTACAATGTAAAAGTAGGTGATGAACTGACTCCCCATTGCACAAGCACATATAACACCGATTGACCACCACCTGATTCCTCCTCCTCAAATTATGCTGGGTTAAAATCTTGCCTAGGACTGAGGTCCAAGCAAAAAAGGCGACCTTGCGGGGAGCCTTGGAACGCCAAATAGACTTCCATGGGAAGGGTTCTCCGTGATGAAACGAAAGGCATCTAAAAAAAGATCTAACCTCAAAACGGCCTTGCGAGTTAGGAACCCAGAACCAACAATCCGATCCCCAAAGGAGATCACCTGGCTATACAAAAGCTCCAGACAGCGAGAAAAATCCTCGATCTCCCAATTCTGAAAATGCCTCCTGAACTGAACATCTCAAGTCAGTCTTCCGTTATCAAGATGATAACAGTCAACAACCATGGCCTGTCAGTGAGAAGCAATCCTATAAAGCCGTGGGAAAGCGAGAGCAAGAGGGTGTTCCCCACACCATATATCCTTCCAAAAACTGATCCTCCTTCCATCTTTAATTCGAAAGCGAACATGCTTGTAGAAATCATCCCAACCCCTCCGAATGAAATTCCAAACTCCCACCCCCCTTGGGCCACGCCTCGCCAGAGAGCACCACCCACCGCTACTTTCTCCAAATTTGCTCTCAATAACTCTCCTACAAAGCCAATGGCTCTCTATCCCAAACCTCCATAGCCATTTACCAAGGAGAGCCTTATTAAAAGGCAACAACCTCCTTAACCCTAAGCCTCCAAACCGAATTGGACGGCACACTTGCTCCCACCGAACCAAGTGAAACTTGAACTCTTCTCCTTCCCCCCCCAAAAAGGAAGTTGCATTGCAATCTTTCAATTCTCTCGGCCACTGAAGAAGGAATCTGAAACAGAGAGATGAAGTAAGTAGAAAAGCTAGAGAGGGTGCTCTTAATCAAGGTAACCCGACCCCCCTTGGACAGGTACTGCTTTTTCCAACCCGCCAACCTCCTTTCAAACCTGTCGACAACCGGATCCCAGATTCCTACACATCTCAAAGGAGCACCCAAAGGCAATCCTAAGTAAGAAATGGGAAAAGAGCCAGTATAACATCCAAGAATCTGCGCAAGCATCTGAATCTCAGGAACATCCCCAACAAGCACAAGTAGACTCTTTCCAACATTAACCTCAAGGCCAGAGACCACTTGAAACCAAATCAAAACGCATCTCAAGTGCCTTAACTGGGACGCGTCCGCATCACAAAACACAATAGTATCATCCGCAAACATCAAATGGGAGACCGCCAATTGACTAGCAACATCCCTGCCCACTTGAAAACCTCTCAAAAAACCCACAGCCCTCGTCAATAATCTGCTAAAAGCCTCCATCACAAAAAGGAACAAGAAAGGGGAAAGTGGATCCCCTTGCCTCAAGCCCCTCGAGCTAGAGAAAAAACCCGTCGGAGCTTCGCTCACAAGGACATAGAACCGAGCGCTAGAGATGCAAAAAAGAATCCATCTCCTCCACCGCTCACCAAAACCCATTCTCTCCAACAGGTAGAGAAGGAAACTCCAGTTCACATGGTCGTACGACTTTTCAATATCCAGCTTACATACAACACCCGGAACACCGCTGCTCAACCGAGAATCAACACATTCACTAGCAATAAGGACTGAATCCAAAATCTGACGACCACCCACAAAGGCATTCTGAGAGTCAGAAATGATGCCATCCATCACCTTTTTCAACCTAGAGGCCAAGACTTTCGCAATCAACTTGTAAAAACATCCCACCAAACTAATAGGGCGGAAATCTTTAACATCCATTGCCTCTCCCTTCTTTGGAATTAGAGCAATAAAAGTTGTATTCAAACTTTTCTCAAAAGAGCCCTGCACATGGAAAGCATGAAAATAGCCCATCACCTCTTCACAAACCACCTCCCAACATTCCAAAATGAACCGCATAGTAAAACCATCAGGACCAGGGGCTTTACCCCCATTACAACTCTTCAAAGCAGCGAGAACTTCCTCCTCTGAAAAAGGCTCTTCCAAAACAGAGTACTCCTCACCCGAAATAGAATCAAAATGAATCCCATCAAGCGAAGGACACCAAACTGCCCCTTGAAAAGAATAAACATTTCGCATAGCACTGTTTCAATAATTGTAATATCCAGAGCTCATAGCAATCTAATCTTGAGATTGATTGTTCATTGAATATCAACTCATACAAAGACATGGTTCGTGGAAATCATCTCTTAAAATTCTTCAAATCCCAAGAGAAGTATGAAACTGATTCGCTTTTTAGGTTTTTTTTTATATATATATATATAAAAATCACCATAGATAGATCTTAACAGCAAGAAAGTAAAATGTAGATCTCAATTACCACTATGAAGGATTCAAAATGTAAATGAATGCATTTTATGATGCGACAAAGGAAGTAATAATTGCCTTTAAATTAAAAGTAGAGTAAAATATTCATTGTAGAATTGTTTCAAGGATGAAGTCAGATAAGTTAAAATAAAATTGTGCTGCAAATGTGATATTGGAAAAATATCAGCATGGAAAAGAAACCATATTTGAAAAAAAGTATAAACAAATAAATAAATAAAAGTAATGCTGTACATCTAGAATATGATGATAGAAGAGGAAAACATTGAATACTGCTTATACAAGTTGTACTTGCTCACCATCAATGTGATTCTTCAGTAAAGAACCGATAAACTGGACAAACTCCTTAGCCTTTGAAAAGCATAACTCAGTAGAAGCCCTTCCAATGCACTTGTAACCAACTAAAATAAATCCCAAGACCGATTTTAATTGCTTCTGCATCTCAAGACATGCAATTTATATTTCATGAGAACATGACACTTGGAGTCAGTTAAGCAGACTGAAAGACAAGACAACTAATAAAATCTTTCTGGCACATTTTATCAATGACACCTCACAAAAGAACAAGGTTTACATAAATATCTTGCAAGTACAGGAAACATGGGAACTTAGATATGTGTACCCACCTTAGGTTCAATTTCAAAACGTCTCACAAAAGTCTTTGCTGCAATATATGACACAGAAATCTTATCCTCCCCTTTCAGTTGACATGGGGAAGTGCCATCAGTGCTGAAAAAAAAAACAGTGGCCAAACATTGATTCTAGGAATACTTTCAGTCAGAAGCTCTAAGCAAATAAACATTGATATATGGTACCTCTGAAAGACTTTAAAAAGGTAACCAAAACAAAGTTCCATTGCCAGATATGCAAAATCTTCTGATGTAAGGAAAAAATCATCAGGGCAGTTCTGCATAATCTGTGGTCAAAACAAAGATATATAAGTGTAGTTTTGTGTGTGACAAGGCCGAATTTTGATTGATGCTTTATAAGTATGCACAACTTTTTTAAGGAATCAAAATAAAAATTGGATCAGGCCAAGAAAGAAATCTCGTGAATTGTAGCAGTAATTAATTTATCTGAACATCTGCACAAAAAATATTAATAGGCAGATCTAAATACAGCAAGAATATTGGCAAGAGGTAACAAGTCAAACAAAAGAAAAAAGAACAAATGTGTCTAAAACAAGCTGATATTCCAAAGGAATATTCTAAATAAATATATCATATATTTGTATTTCCATATTGTGCATCATATTGGATAAATAGATCCCATCTTCAGAATTGGCAATAATCCTCGTTCATCAACATTCAATATGAAATCTGGACAACAAAGTATTTACTGAAATCTACCTGTGATAAAACAGAGATTGCAAGACTATCCCATGTATCTTCCATGCAAATGGAATATGAGAAAACCTGCATCCATTACAAATGATAAAACGATAAAAATTTGCAACATGTGGAAAAGTAAACCATCTTAAGGAAATATCAATTACTATTGAAGATAAAATATTTTCTTACTATTAAAGATAAAGGATAGAGAGGTATCCTGGAAGGACAGTCATGGGCGGAGCCCTTCCACATGGTTAGATTTGAATATAAGCAATTAATGCACAGTTTGGGAAAGTAATCTAGACCTGCTTTGTTCCTCATTTATTTTATTTATATCTTTTGTTTTTATTTTCTTTTTCTTTGTCAGTAAGTTGGGAGGACTTTGAGAGGGAAGACTGTCCAAATAATGCTCCAATTATGCAGTATGAATGAACCAATATTTGCAAATACATGCACAAGGTTACCATGCTATGACGACATTTTGTATTCCTTTATATTAAAATGTTATATTTGCAACTTAGTATCAGACACGAGTATTGACGGGGATATACAAGCAACTCTCAATAAACAGGCTGGGCAGAAACTGGCTGATGCGCAGCAGCCTGAGCTCAATCCATTCCCTTAGACAAGTTATGGGCCTAGTCCACTTGCATGCCAATATACACTCAGGCAGCTGGAATCAAATAAGTATGCCAATTTTTCTAGTGAGAAAATTGAAAGGCTTTGAACATACTGAACCATATAGATGTACAGACCCAAATTACTGTAGAATATATTTGACATGTCATTTTAGCTAATGTTATATATCTCCAAAATTTCCATCTTGTGAAGTCGGAATCGTGTATTATTCCATGGATCTTTCAAGAAACTTGAGCTTTAATTCTCTCCCTCTATCTCCGATAAGAAACAACACTAACATTACATGATCTTAGATCAACAACGACAGTCATATACATGATCCTTTTAATGTTGGGTTATTAGGTTACATGGTTCACTTCCCAGAGCATAAACTGAGTTATAGTCATTACCAATGGTTCCTTAAGAATCTAGAAACTGAAATCACTTCACCTGATATAAAATGACTAATCAAATAGATGCTAGAGAAGTATAATAAAATCAATGAAACGGATCAATGGCTGTAAAATGAAAAAGGAATACATATAGATCACCACCTGCAGTAATTCTCTACAGATATCCACCGTAAGGAATCCCATGTTGAAGAAACATTCAGCCGACAGAAACTGGAACACTGGTAACACAATCTCATACAACTTCAAAGTTAGAGGATTTATATCTTCAACTGGAGAGTCACCACCAAACTTTCCTTTTGCAGAACCCACAGGTATTATATGCTTGCTAAGAGTTGGATCTTGTCCCTGAAATAGAACAAGTAGAGCAAAGCCCCAAAGGAACCGAAATTCTTCTGATTCCAGTTCAACCATGCTGTATCCAGAAATGAATTTACTTGGTGTATTTTCCATAGTTTTGGAAGATCCATTCACATCAAAATTCACAGGAACTGCATCCAGTGCAAGTGCTTGCAAGATTACTGGCCAGGCTTCCTCTAAACATGGCAGAACCTTTGATGAAACAAGAGGTGATTGAATTCCATCAAGGAATGGTTTCCACTGTAAGTAGCACAGAACAACATAAGCAGGAACTCGTGGATAAATTCTTACCAGTTGCAAACATTGCTTTCATTTCTCATAAGACGAAAGACGGCAGTCAAAGAAAAAAGAACAATAGGTTTCACATATACCAAGCTTACATTTCTCTTAGGAAGCATGCGGAAGCAGACATAACTGTAGTCCTTTAAAATCAATATCCAGTACTTCCCTAGAGTACTTGAACTTTTTGAAAATAATGGTAACAGGGCTAAGTACTCATCTGGAATCCCATTATGTTGTCTCCTCAAGAATGCATATGTATAACATTTAAGAGAGGCATGGGCAGTTAGAAGTCTAATCTTGATCTGGAAATAAACAAAAAAAGAAAAGGAAAAAAAAGAAAAAAAAGGAGCATTTTGTAAGAGCCTCTTCAAATGAAAAGGAAAAAGAAGTGGAAAACCCGACGCCATACAAGGAATGGTTTGGAAAATAGTGAAATGACATACCTTGCATGACACCCATTCTGCAAAAGATGGATAATAAAGGTCTTTGAAGTCATCCAGTGGACGTGAAATCAGTGAAAAAATTCTCTTAACTGCAACTTGATCTCCACTAATTATTCCGCTTGTAAATATCTGAAATACACATCATAACATTCGCACTAATTTACGTCATTTCATTGGAAAATGCAAAAGAGAGCTGTTTCTATATTTTGAACCTTAGTAGCCAGCTGCAAGCCTGCCTCCAAAAGAACAGGACCAGAGGATGTATCTAATGCAGTGCGGACTGCAGATAATAGTTGCGCCTAAATTTCATAAATAACTGGTTAAGTAAAATCTACAAAAAGAAACCATACTATAGAAAATAGTAATTGATGTTTCCATGAGTGAATCATTTAGAAGTCACAGAACTATAAGCAAGTTTAGGCGAAATTATTGAAATTGAATGGGAAATGAGGAGGAGAATTAAAACAGGTGCCATCTGCATACCTGATACTGTTCCAATAGAGGGTGTCCAGGAAGATCGGGATCTGGTATCATTTCAAACTGAAACTCACAAACACGAGATTTAAACAAACTAACATAGCAGAATTAAATTTAAGAACCTCTGCATGGCACTAAGTAGAGAGAAAATGAAAAAACAAATAGTTAACTATAAAAGCCAGAGCAATCTGTTAAGGACAGATTTTTAATCAATCTAAGGGTAATCAATCTGTTTCCAGTGCGCTACAGCTTTTCCCTCTGGAATTAGTGGCCTCGAAAAGTCAATTGCTAAATCACTGCAATTAGTCTATTCCAAACCATTCCATCTAGATTAAGGACAGATTTTTAAAGCACAAGAGAATTTTGAGTTCATAATTGGGAAAAACATACGTAGAAAATACAGCAGCTGGTTTTTATTAAAAAGATTTTTTTTTTTTTTTTTTTTTTTTTTTTTTTTTTTTTTTTTTTTTTTTTTTCGGAAATTGTTAATAAAGCATCAAATCATCTAAGCAAAGAATCAGATTACACACAGTAGCTTCAGACTACAGACATTGAACTAAATGAACTACTCGACACAGAATATATAAATAAAAATTAACGAACTACTTCTGAAAAGATCCAGATTGGCTTGAAAGAGGATACAAACCAATAACACAAACCAAACCTGAGCAATGATCTTTGGCTCATTTTACTGACAGCCAAACCAAAGTTGCCCCAAATCCAGTTTTATTGCCCTTGTGACAAAGGGATTTGTAAACATTTTTTAAATTAGGCAGGATTCAAAAATAAACATTTCACTAACAAATTGCAAGACCTTTCTTACTAAAAATCTTGCTATTATTCGTTGATTAACCTAAAGCAGCAAAATGGAAGCATAAGTTGCAACTTGTTAACAACTGTCTACTCTAAAAGCTTAGGCTGTTAGAGAGGGTGTGTCTTTAATATTTCAATACTTCAACACGGCCCCTCACGTGTGGCCTTCTTTTGGTCCGACACGTGTCTCAATTTTTAATATCAGTGTGATGGTGAGGTTTGAACTCGAGACCTTTGGCTCTGATACCATGTTAACAACCATCTACTAAGAGGGTGTAACTTTAATATTTAAATACTTCAACACAACTAAATTGCTTAAAATGAATAATCCTGATTAGGCTCGCGAACAAACTCAAGCAGTAAGGTCAGTTTAACCAATACATCCAAGATTTAATTGGGCTGGTTGACTTTAGGTAATGCTTGAGCGTATTCAACCTCGCCAGCAAATAAAAATAAAATAAAATAAAATAAAATACTGAAATTGAACAACTCAATAAAAGGCTCAGTCCATTTTCTTGCCAATTATGTGAAACTCGTGACACTGAAGTTGACTATTTTAGCGCCTAACATATAACAGTGTAGCCGTTACACTCCTCAAATCAATAAAATTTATACAGATCCAGGATAATGAATTAGAAGTCATTTAGTAGCTCAAACTAACATTTAATAACAGCAACAAGTCTATAAGAAAAATGAACCAAGCAAGAAACTATAAAAATTTATACATTAAAGAAAAGAATATACAGTGCTTAGTCATAAATCAAAACTAACAGAAATTCTGTAAAATTTGTAGAATTGGTGTTTTTGGACAGGTACCTTGTCCACAATGGTAGTTAGAAGTCCTACACCAATAGGCCGCATGTTTTCAAACTGAATTGTGCTTATCTATAAAAATGATATACAAAAAGTGTCAACTTCCACATCGAACAAAAAAGTCAACTTTAGTAGCTATGTCATGTCATGGCTGGCAAACTATTCAAAGCAATGAAGTAAATTTATGATTGTGGATTTATATTCAGCACCTGATAAGCAAGTGATATTAGCTCTTGCACTTGGATGGCCAGCCAGTCGCCAGAAACCTGCCCATTAGCATTTTGTCTTCTCGCCAACAAGAGGTCAAAGTGAGCAGGATTCTTTCCAACAGCTGCAGGTACATGACTCAAGCACCTATATTCCAAAACAATTACTTCGTTAAGATAAATTAAAGATGGAAAATAAATTCAATATTAAAATGGTGTCAAGTTTATGTCTAATGTTGAGGAAAGGCTTCAGCCTTTAAATTAGGTTCAAAATGAGGTTAAATTTACATCACATGGCACAAGTTGTGAGTTGCAAAATACTGCAGACGACATCTCTAACCATGGTGTCCTCCTAATAAAGCAAGTGAAATATATATATAAATACATATAAATCAAAGTCATGATTCCATGCATACAAGCAAAAAAAATCGTGATTTTTTTTTTCCCTCCTAATAAAGCAAGTGAAATATATAAATTAAAGCCATTATTCCATGCATACAAGCAAAACCATCGTGAATATATATATATATATATATATATATATATATATATATATCCATTTACTTTTCAATGTAGTATGTTATTCGAATTAATATCTTTCTTTGTTAGTAGCTTAATCAAGTTATATAAATTCAATATTTTAATTTTAGAATTAATTGTTGCCTTTATAAATATGCTGCTTCCACCATTGATAACTAATCCTGTCATTTGCATACATAACTACATACATTAGTCTAATCAACTATATGGTTCATATGCGCAGAAAAAGAAAAAGTACAAAAGAAAATCTACGCGATACATAAAAACAATTAGATGAGGTCATCATGCAAACAACCATAATGAAAAAAGAAAGGTTATACTTGGCGCTAAGAAACCATCCAATAGATGATGACAAATTCATTGATCTATAGAAATGATCCAATGTGATTAACTAGTACTTGTCCTGAAAATTACTTAAGAAGAAAAGCCAGATTGAAAAGGAAAAACGTTACTATTGCTAGGTTCAAAATTTTTACATTAAGATCAGCGAGGTAACTGCTACAACATTAATCATTCACATCCGGGCGAAAGAGGCGCACAGTAAGGATCAAGTATATCCAATCAATCCAATATAAACGACTTCCTCATTCATTAAAAATTTCATTAAAAACTGGACTAAATAAAGAAAAATACCTCCTAGTGGATATTCAAGGAACAAAACTTTCCAAAAAAAAATTGCCATGAAAAAGCCATCTCAACACATCAAGTTACACGTGATGTAGTTACATCAATAGTAGAAGCGTTCAAGAATGGTAATCTAACATCAAATTTCACCAACTTTGAAATAGTGTTCTAGCAGAAGAAGTCCATGCTAAAAGCCTAAAGTAAAGAAAAGCACTGTGAGAGAAGTACAGAAAATCTTTTTGTACTCCCATCTGCCACATCACCTCATAAAGATCATAAAAGGTTATATCAGATTTCACAAGTCCCTGATGGGGTAAAGCAAATACTTCTGACTGCATTTTGTTTCCCTCACTTTTGAGGACTAAACAGGATTGCTACACAATGAACAGGATTCTGTCAATAATGAAATCAAACTCTTATTTCTCCCATTCCCCAGTATTGGTAAATATCTTCTTTTTAGTAGGACATCTTGCCCTTGTATGTGTATATGTGCCTGTACATTTAGATCAAATTATTGATATGGAGCTAATCTAACAGAATCCATGAAATATGGGTCATCTATGGATGTGTATTACTGTATTTATAGAAGGAAAGAAAAAAAAAAAATTAGAAAGAAAAAGTCATCTATAAATGATTCCGGAAATATAGTCAAGTCCATGGCTCCATGCACATGACATCAAACAAAGGATCACATAGGTGTAAGTAGGATAAACTATACCCTAGATTTGGCTGATACTGAAAGATAACCGCATACAAAGATTATTCAATCTTGTGAACAAATTGAAAATAAGAGAAGGCCGCTATAAAGATTTTCCACTATGCAAATTATTGAAAAGAGGGGATCTTCAGTAAATTTTGCTGGTGCAAATTTGTATATTCAGTGAAGTTGGTGGAGATCATATGAAAAAGGTGCATTCATAAATTATCCGAACTTTAGTTATTGAACTATAAAGCCAATCATTGTGATTCTATTGGGAATGGGGGATTAAGGACATGTTTCAAGGACACTATTGCCATCTGAAAGAAAAGGAAAGAAAGAAAGAAAGAAAGAAAGAAACTACCAGAACAAAAGGACAATACAGCGACAGAGTAAAAATCCGTTCCACTAGATTTGCAGTAACAAAAAGGACACAGGAAACTAAAGATAAATGTTTGCTGTCAACTCCATCATCTAATAGATGCACAAGCGAAAGTAAGCTAACATACTCAGCAGCAAAAACTCTGGTCCGATATCGGAGATGCTTATTTCTTCTAGGATTACCACTGGAAGAATCAAATATGTATCCTTGAATAGGCAAGCCTTTGGAGCCAGAAACCATATTTTCATCATCTTCTCCAAATTTCAAAACCGGATCACCATCTGGACTATTTAAAGGATCATCCTTGGACCTGTTGATGGTCCCTGCATCACTTTCTGTTGGAGTAGCAAGAATCTGGACAAAAATTTCAATAAATCATTTTCAGCATACGTTTTTTACAGCAAATGTTTCTTTATCACAAGTCCAATTTGTTTTTTGCAATTCTATTTATAATCAATAAACTAAATCAGTAATAATAAAACCATATCTACAGCACAGAAAGTAAAATCTAAGCAAATTGTGTGCCATGCAAGGTACGCAGGTACGCAGACCATGGATACGCCAGATATTGACAAACCCCACAAAATATTATTTAGAAGAAAATTTGTTTCAAGATACCTTCCCCTTTGGAAGTGTAGCAGAGAATTGAACAATGCTATCACATTTTTCTGGCATCTAATTAGAAATTCAATATATATTGATAACAATAACTTATTTCACTTGGACAGCTGAACTGAGTTGAGACAAATTTTGGATTAAAATTTAGAAATCACACAGGTTCATTACAGGCATTATAAATCAAAACCAAAAAACAACCATTAATTACCCAGAAAACTGCAAAAGAGATCGAGTATAGTTTGCTCCATAGTGATCTCCACGCCATCAATCTAGTCTCATGTATGATGACTAAAATATTGGCTTACATGATTCTTTGTTGCAAATGGATCTGGGGCTCACTTTTGAAATACCTTCAGCAGGACAATCTTCCTTTTAAAGATACTTTTCATCTTTTATTAAAGCTCTTCATTCCAATGACTTTGTGTCTAGGAGTTTTAGTTTCATAGAATCCTAAAAGATGTGGAGATCAATGGACCAGCTTTTCTCCCTCATTGCTTTGAATAGTGTCTGCCTGTGCCAACAATCCCTGATGAATGTAGTAAAAGTTTTGAGAGTAAATTATTTTTCTTCTTTTTTCCAAATGATTTGAGAGTAATTTCATATGTTCAATTTTCCATCACATCCAATCCCTCCTCATTTTCTCCAGCTACTTTGATTTGGATATACAAAGTTCCCATTAAATGTTAAAGTTTTTGCTAGATCAGTAGCTCATATAAAGGTGTATATCAAAGAGACACTACAAGTGAGAGACAGAATATAGAGTTGAGCAAATGATCTGGTTTGTACATGTATTTATTCGTTGCTCGGTATCCTAATAGTCGCAAAGATTATTCCATGTGGCAGGAATAGCTTGGTCACGCCCTACAACATCATCAAGTTTTAGTAGAAGTTTCTTATGGAGCCATTAGAAAAGGGGAAGTGCTATGTACCAACTCTTTGTGATTTAGAGACAAATACTAGAGTGTTTTAGCACAAAAAGCCCAAGTGGATATGTTCTAGGACAAAATTTTCTTACTACTTTCCCTTTGGTCATCGACTAAAAAAGAGTTAAGAGGTATCCCCTTAAGCCTCATTTTGCGCGGCAGGGCCCCTATTGCACTTACAAAATGCGCGTGTTGTGTATTCAAGCTGATGGAGAGCTACTATTGAAGATGTATTAAAGCTCAATTTTGATTGTTGCCCTCTTAGAAATCTAAAATATGGGTCAGTCAGGAGTCAAAGGCATCACAAGTGATCATGAACCACATTATTTTCTTACTCAAAGCAAGCTGATCAATACATACATACATATATATATATATATATATATATATATATATAATAACGGAGGTTGTCTAGATTATGCTACTAACATGTGAGGAAAGAATTTTTGTGGAATGCTTTAGATCTACACCAGATTATCAAACTTAGTGTTACGACAAACGCATCGAACCAAGCAATAATTACGAAACACTACAGAAAAATAAACACACCACACAAAGAACACAAGTTATACATGGTTCACCCAAACTTGGGCTTCGTCCAAGGATGAGAAGAGATTCCACTACGATTCGTAGAGATATTACAACAATAGAGTACCAACACCACGTATATATCTTTTCACCATGTACCACTCCACGAGCCTATCTTCTCGCTACCAGTCTTACCGGTGTTTTTTCTACTCTACCAACTCGCATACTACCTCTACCCAATAACTCCCTCATGAGACTACATCTCTCTTAATCTCAAAAGTCTCAACCCACAACATAGGTGCCTATTTATAGGGTTACAAACACAATTCCTTATTGGACAAGGATTGCAATTCTTGGAGACCAAAGACTTGTCTGACAAGAAATTACCTTAAATAATACAACTCTAAAATAGAAACCAAATTAGAATAGGAATTTGAGACACAAATTCCAACAATCTCCACCTTGGCTCAAATTCCATCCAACCAATCATCACTTCCCGTGGCATTGATCAGGACAATTCTTTTGCAGCTTCAATCTTGACAATATTCTTGCAAAACTCTGATTGTTCCCATTGTAAATTGCTCGTTCATTCAAACCTCCAAGGCTCCACCTTGACTACTCGAACTCCATGCCATGAACCCATTACGAAATTCTGTCATCGTGACTAATCAAGCTGATTGACTTCACTTGCAACTAAACCTATTCTCGCACACATTGAGACATCTTGTGCTTTCGGATCTCCTTCGCCTTGGGCTCTGATACCAATTTGTTACGACCAACGCAGCGAACCAAGGAACAATTACAAAACACAACAGAAAAATAAACACACCACACAAAGACCACAGAGATTTATACGTGGTTCGGTAAAGCCTACGTCCATGGTGGAGATCTGGCAAAAATCTTCACTATGCGTAAAATCGGAGATTACAAGATTACAAGTTTTAGCCCCTCACTCTCAATTTTGTACGAATTTCAGTGTCTCTCTCACCATATACTCCAAACCCTAAACGCTCTTATATATTGGGCTAAAAGAGAGTACTAATTAGGGGCCACAACCCATGAGCTTTGTTAAGCTTAGGCCCACACAAAGCTCAACAAATGGGTCATCGAGTCGTAACGCGACCCGGCACCAAATTCGGGCCACAACATCACACTTGCATAGAGGAACTACTAGGCTCCCCAACCCCCTTCGGGGATAGGACTATTCCTTTCGGATATCTGCAATTATGCCCAAACTATGTGTATCGGGTAAGCCCAATACGGATGCTTGACACTCCTAGAAGTTAAACACAAGACCCTTTGGTCATGCTCAAAGACCTTATGCCAACTCAAGTGGTGACCATGTGGGTGGGTGTGAGGCACTGGAAGGCTACCATGTTGGTAGGCTACGTGTGTACGATCCCACATCACCTGGGTGTGGAGAAGGGAAGTGTTATATATGTAGAAATGGTACACTCCAAATGGTATAAGGCCTTTTGGGATAAACCCCAAGAACAAAACTATGTGGGCTCGGGCCCAAAGTGGGCAATATCATATCATGTGGTGGAGTGGATTGTTATAAATGGTATCAAAGACCTACCCAGACAGAAGTGCGTTGACAGGGTTCGGGCCTCTTAGGGGGGTAGATTGTAGCGACCTTGAGGGCGGGTGCGAGGCACTAGCATGCTACAGGTGCACAACATCGCCTGGATTTAGAAAGGGGAAGTGCTATATATGTAGGATTGGTACAATCCAAATGTTAAGAGGCCTTTTGGGGTAACACCTAAGAACAAAACCGTGTGCGCTTGGGCTCAAAGCGGACAATATCATACCATACGGTGAAGTGGGTCATTACAACTCAACTCTCATGTAGGGTTTGAAGCAATTGATATTGTTTTAGCCATAAAGGCTGAAATGTTAGTTCTCTTAAAAGATTGCAAGATACGCTTGATGGTATTGTCATTTCATTATGGAAATCTATGTTATCTAAATAATTGGAAGTAGATTTTAGATGGAGTCTATGGCTAAAATAGGAGCATTGACTTGTCAAGTTTTAAAATCCAATTTTACCCTCCTTAGGAGTGGCTAGTATTTTGGTTCGTTTGTACCCCAGATCCATATTATGTTTCTTTTGTTTCCCATCAAAGGATACCATGTGTTTCTAGCTCTCTCATTCTCTATAACAAAATTTCTTTCTATCCTATTAAAAAAGTGCAGTCAATGACAGAGAAGATCTCACCCAAATAATATTTTCTTTATTGAATGTAAATAAAAATGAAAGCCCCATCTTGACAAGAGTCAATTATTGATGTAAAGATTTAACTGTAAATGGAGAAGAAAAGAACCAATTTAATATGTGATGGACCTTGCTTCCATAAAAAAAGCTATTAAAGGAAAGGGGATCGGGTATTAAAATGTTAAACGCTAATGAACTCAAGCATTTCAAAAAAGGCTGATAACGAGATGTTAGACAGTCAACATTATTGTCCTTCCATTTCCCACCTTGAAACTTGTACATAATACAAATCAATTCAATTAATAGATTAATAAGATTTCAAAAGCACAGGGCCAGAAGCAAGAAAAACACCACTAATATGGATGGTGAAGGAAGTTACCATATTACGGCATATTGATAGCCAATGAGACGGAGATGAAGGGCATGATTCATAGAGCAATCGCATAATTGTGCTACGCACCAAATTCCCAATCCTACACAAACGGAAGGAATTTACAACTTAACCAATATAGTTTACAATGTAGTCCATATATGCAAATGTTTCATAGTGGCTTCATGTCATAGATATAGAAAAGCTTTTATAATGTACATGTCAAGCCTGAAGTAGCACTCAACAGCATCTTTAAAATAATTTTAAAATATATAATTCCTTCATGATATTACAAACTATAATCCATAATAAACTAAAATTACGGGAAAATAAAGGTGTATCCACACATACTCAGTATCAGTTTCTTCGTCCAGCATACGGAACAAGGTAACTTCTATTTGTTCTTTAATAATAGAAGCCTGTAAAAAATATTCATTAGCACATGCATCTGAAAACAGCCAGGGCAGACTAACTAATAAGAAAATGAAATACATAGAGACTAAACTGAAATGAATATAATCAAGAAATTTTAAGTGTTAAATCCCAAGGAACTAAATTTCTTAATCTTTGAAAAGTAGTTCAAGCAGTTAAATATCAAAATATTAAGTTTTATTGATATTATTTGATTATAATGTTCTAAGCTCCAGGAAAATGCATCCATTAAAATATTTTTGTACCGGTGTTACTGATTATCTTGCAGCATAATATTATACAGAAAGGCGTATCAAAGGAGAAACATGAAACAAGCCAGAGGCAAGTGAGAAAGGACGTGATGCAAATCATTAAGGGTACTTTAGTCAGGATTGAGGCAGTCAATGGTGCCTTGGAAAGTGACTTGAAGAAAATTCAAAGAGTCCTTATTTTACTAAAATTTGGAATTATTAAGTATACTTAGGAAAGTGGTAAAGTCTTATTAATGTTGTGTGGGAATTATCAGTCATTCTAGGAAAAGTCAAGTGTCATTAATAGTAGTATTATAAAAGGGACAGCCCTCTATATCTGCTGTAATCAGGTTTTTATCAATATAATTTTGAGTTATTATCAGAGTTTATGCTTCTCTATGGCTTTCCCCCAGATTTCCCTATAGAAATCTAGGCTCCGACGGTGATTGGAGTATTTCTGGTCTTTCTTACTGTTGTAAGAAGACTTCTTTCTTTTTCTGTTTGCTTCGAGTGGTATCAGAGACTTCCAGAAAGATCTGTGAATACTGCGGATCTATGGCTAGGCAAGGAAGCAAGAAAGCCACAAAAGAAGACGTTCAAAATCTTTCTCGACTAAGCACTATATTAGAACAAAATGGAATCATTTCTCCTCTGAATCTAGGCATTGGGAGACGAAGGCAGCGAATGGATGCATATAAATGTGAAGATTGGGTAAGACAGCCTGCTGAAGAGAGATTTCAGTGCCTTACGCAGTGGACAAATGCAAAACCGAGTGCTGCCAAATCAGTTATACAGTCACAGAATACTTGGACGGCAATGGTGAATGATACAAAGGAGTCCAAATTTTGGTGCTACAGACACAGGAAGCTGAGATGCAAATCTGCCAAGTGTCCAATAACTTTAGATAATCACATGATCAATGCAAAACAATTCTTTCTTGTGGAAGACGCTGGAAATCATGTTGATTTTGAGAATGCCAAATAAGCTTGGGATGAATTCATGGATGAGGAAACTTAAACTTTCTGGCTTCCAGATTTTGATGACAATGCAGAGGAATATGAAGGAAAAAATAAGGCATAAGAGAAGAAGTTTGAAGAAGCAGCCAATAACATCTCAGAAGCTAAAGCAGGCTGTGGTAAGAAAGTGGGACCCATTGAAGAAATTGAAGCAAATATTTCAAGTTGATTCCAAAGTTGCAGAAATTTTAGACTTCACACTTGTTTTTTTTGATAAGTAATAATTAAAATAAAATAGGCGTTCAAGAGGGGAACGCATCCCTTATACAAAAGTGGAACTAGGGATTAAGATCCCAAAGAAGCCAAAAAAATAATTAAATCTTCGGAAGAAGAACAGGACTTCCTCTTCACATAACTGAAAAGAGAGCGTATGATGTGAAGTTTCAGAATTGCCGTGGACGATTCTTTCCCTTCGAACATTCTACTATTCCTCTCCTTCCAAATGCACCACCAAACACAATCTGGTACAACTCTCCAATAATCGCGAACAGCGCTACTCACACGGCATCCTCTCCATATACAACTCAAATCCTTAGGATAACGAGGCATAACCCAACGCATACCAAACAGACAAAAGATAAGATTCCAACAATCCCTCGCCATAGGACAATGCATGAGAATGTGAGCAACTGGCTCACCATCTTGTTTGCACAAGCAACACCAGTTAACAAGACAATTGCCCCTTTTCCTTAGATTATCAATCGTAAGGATCTTACCCCAAACAACGGTCCAAACAAAGAATGCCACTCTAGTTGGAGCCATAGAACGCCAAATAGTCTTCCATTGAAAATCAACAATATCGAAATCAGAAAGACATAAAAATAAGGAACGAACTTCAAAGCGACCATGGGAAGAGGGAATCCATGTCATATCATCACTACCTCTGCCAACTGCCTCCTGTCGATACAACAAATCCAGGAAAACACATACCTCGTCCACCTCCCAATCCTGAAAAGAGCGTCGAAATTGCACGTCCCACGTAATCCCTCTACTATCAAGTTGATAACAGTTGGCTACGTAGGCAAGTCTATCAACTGCAATACTGTATAACCTGGGAAATAAACAAGATAAAGGCCGGTCTCCACACCAAAGATCCTCCCAAAAGCGTACACATCTGCCATCACGAACTTTGAATCTGATATGAGTAGACTTCACACTTGTTGACAGACAAATAGGTGGATATTTTGAAGATAACACTATTGAACTTGAGATGGTATGTGGTATAGTAGGCATTACATCAGATTTAAGTTTACTGAATAATTTCGCAAGAAATGAAGATACTTTGTTCATCATGTTGGAAAATCATGAATTCCATATTCATGACTCAATTTGGGATGATTTCTAGATGCGACATTTTACTTGGAGTTGTTGTCATTCAAAAATCAGATTAATTAAGATTTTGTTTCATCATATGTGTTCAAGCAAGCTTCGGAAATCTTCTAAATTTAAAGAAAAAGCTCGAGCAGTTCATGAAAAGATGTTATTTACTAGTGAAAGAAGATTATTGTGCTTTGTTCGAGTGAGGAAAAGAAGAAAGAAAGGATGGAAGGCTTTACTAGGGTTCTTCATTGATCATGGTAAATTGTTTCAAACTTGAGGTTGAGTTTTCTTCAAGGAGGAGGGTTTGATGCAAATCATTAAGGGTACTTTAGTCAAGATTGAGGCAGTCAACGGTGCCTTGGAAAGTGCCTTGAAGAAAAGTCAATGAGTTGTCCTTGTTTACTAAACTTCGGAATTACTACGTAAACTTAGGAAAGTGGTAAAGTCCAATTAATGTTGTGTGGGAATTCTAAGTCATTCTAGAAAAAGTAAAGCGTCATTAATAGTAGTATTATAAAAGGGACAGCCCTCTATATCTGCTGTAATCAAGTCTTTAGCAATATAATTTTGAGTTATTATCAGAGTTTATACTTCTCTAAGGCTTTCCCCTAGTTTTCCTGTAGAAATCTAGGCTCCAATGGTGATTGGCGTATTTCTGGTCCTTCTTACTGTTGTAAGAAGACTTCTTTCTTTTCTGTTTGCTTCAGGATGAAACCATTAGAATAGGAGCACAAGCACACACACACACACACTGAAACTAATATAGAGGTGTTTAGCTAGCCCTAAACAGCTGGGATATCTTTGCTGGTATGAAATAATTAATGCAAAAGAATAGATGAGTACAATGATGAACATGAAGCAAAGGGAAAATAATACAGAAGGGCATCTAACATTTAGTTACTAACCGAATCTTTCTCTATGAGATGTCGTAGAGTAGACACAGCTAGATGCCTCAAAGTCGGCTGTTGCACAAAAAATAAAAGATTAAAAAATAATAATAGAACAAATTAAGGGATATTTGGTAAGCAGGAAAAAATTACCTGTCTTGATGATAGAGTTGGAAAGAGAGTTTTCACATGGGAATGAACAGTAACAGCTTGTGGGGCAAAAAGAACAAGTTGTTGCGTAAACCGGACACTCCTGGCAAAAGCAAATGAAATTAAAATATGTATATATATATGACTAATTTTATCCCTCTGACAGAAGAATTAGAACAAATACACATGGTAGAGAATAAGAAAAGATAATAATAATAATAATAATAACAAAATCAAGAATAATTACAGAGAGATACAAAAACACAATATTTATTTGTTGTCAATGTAACAATTTCCACAATAGTAATGAGAATAATGGGCTGACATACTCAAGAAGTGTCGCCGTCTCCTGCCGGGAGCTTATTTCTGCAACAACAGACTGGATAAAAACACATAATTACTATTTGATATTCAACAAACTATTCTAACAATTAAGAAGAAGAAAGGATCAATAATTAAATTTGTCGGGGATCTATTAGTTTCTACATACAGAGAGAAAAAGTAAATTATCTGATGGCAATCAAGTATCTTTAAAAGCATTCCACATATAGTAGTTCAAAGGGACTGTAATATGGTAAACAGAAAACCTTGCAGCGCGAAAAGAAAATGCTGCCAGGGGCAAGTTCAGGACCAAGAACAGCAACAATGGCATTTATAAGGCGGCCCACTCCATGCTGAAGGTCAACCCACCCATTCTCCTCAGACAAAAGAATATCCATAGCAAGACCAAGTGTTGCCTAAGGACAAAGGAAAACAAATAAGTAAACCACCTCATTCTAATAAGTATAAATAAGAAAAAAACTGTTATGACAATCACAGTGAACCAAGCAACAATTACGAAACAATGACGGAAAAATAAACACACCACACAAAGAACACAAAGATTTATACGTGGTTCGGCAAAGTCTACGTCCACGGTAGACATCCGGTGAAAGTCTTCAATATGTGTAAAATCGGAGATTACAAGTTTCAGCCCCTCACTCTCAATTCTGTACGAATTTCTGTCTCTCTCACACCCACTCCAAATCCAAAACGCCCTTATCTATTAGGCTACAAGAGAGTACTAATTAGGGTCCACGACCCATGAGCAAAAATAGGTCAAAATGTTTCAAACGGTCCATCGGGTCGTAAGCGGGCCACAACGCGACCCGGAACCAAATTCGGGCCACAACATCACAAGAAACTTGTCAATCGATGAACAAAAAGACAAAAAATAAATAAATAACAATGAAAAGAGATGCAAAATTATAAACAATGATCTCACAATGAACTAATGATAAAGCAAAGCAAACAAATACTGTGAAACACATTTCACATCAGAATAGAGGAACCTTTAATCTAGCATTTTATGATATAAAACATATTAATAGTGGCTACGAGATCGACACAAAACTTAAATGAAGATTTCAAAATTGAAAATAAACGTCATGCTTTACAATCCCAAATCTAGTATATTAATTTAAATCAATTAACCAAGTATATTAATGAGGCAGGCATTCATTGTCGTCTTTGAAAAGATAAGATGATGGTGTGAAAACGCCACTAAAAAAAATAATTTATTTTAAACAATTACTCAGTTTCTCAACTGAGGCATTTCCTAATGCAGTTATGCTATTGACTCAGGGAAATTGCAGCCATGGTTCACCTAGTCACAACTAATTCAGCCTTTGCCGAGTCCAAGTGGGGCCTATATAGTGGTGATGCTCAAGAGTTACACGTGACTCGGGATGACTTGGGGTGATTTAAAGGAGAATTGAAGAGAATCAGCCAAATCTGCACCATTCTCTCACTCCAAAAACAACTTATATTTGCTCATGAATCATCAAAACACACAAGATATAGCCTTAAATCTAGAATCAAATACATTCTACATAAGAGATACAAGATCCAAAATGGGTGGAGTTGGGTGAATGTTTGTAGAGTTTGATGAGAAAACTGCCACCTGGGTTGGTGGCAGAGGTGGTCATGGTAATATGTCTTGGTGCTCTCTGGGGTTGGCCTTTGCCGTAGTGACGGTCAGACGTTTTAGATAAGGAGTGTGTGTGTGACGGAGAGAGTGAAGGGAGAAAGGATATATCTTTTGGGTAGAGACTTTTTCTCTCTGTTTCAATTTTTAACCATCCTAGCTCCCTCTTTCTTCCTCTAATAATATGTTTTTCTCCAATTGTGTTTTGCAAGAATTGGTGATTTGTGTTAACGAGGTAACTTTTGCAAGAATTTGAGACTGCATTGGCATTGCAACTTTTGTGCCAATCTGTATACAACATTACGTATGATTTGGCCTCACGGCCCTCACATGCTAGGGAAACTACAGTAGTGGGGCCAACTTTATATTTTTTGGGGCTTTGGACCACATGATCTCAAGCACCTCTTCATCAAACAATAAAATACACCAACACACCATTTGCCAAACATTCCAATTTCATTACATCACCTTTTCAGCTTTTTAAACTTTGATTTGGACCAACAAGGCGTGTAGCATAGTAGTACTTTCTGACATCCCAAAGTAGAAGGTCAAGGCTTCAAACCTTTGTAAGCACAAAGTGGGTTTGTGAGTTTCAACTAGGAAAGGGAAAAAAAAAAATTGATTTTTCACTCTATGCGTCTTTATGAATTTTGGTCCCAAAATAAAAATTAAAAACTAAAAGAAAAATCAATATGCTGATTTTCATGTTTTTTATAAGATCTTCATCACCACGAGTTCATAAGAGATTAAACATTACTGATATTGATAGGGGGTTGTGGCAGGCATCGAAACTGCAATATTTTATTTTGTTTTTATTTTTTGATAAGTAAGATTGTATTAGAAAAAAGAAAGCGATCAAACGGAGATTGCATCCCATAAAATCTACACAAGGCCAAATAGAGCCCATAAACTCTCAACGAGTCCAAAAATCAAGTATCTCCCTCATGGATTTACAATTTCTCCCAAGGACCCAACAAAAGATAGAACTAAGTATAAAAAACTTCAGCGCCCCAACAGGAGTATCCTCTCCCTCAAAGGATCTCCTATTCCGTTCTAGCCATAAACACCACCATACTCCAAAAGTTGCACGTTTGGGCATCCACTATACACCCTCTCCAAGCCTCCATCAAGCCTCTCGAGGAACAAGGCATAACCCACTGCATCCCAAACAAACCCAGCAATAAACTCCAACAATCCCGGGCTACTGGACAATGCAGAAGAAGGTGCTCAACTATCTCTTCATCTCCCTTACAGATACAAAAACAATTGATGACCACCTGTCTTCTCCTTCTGAGATTGTCCAAAGTTAGAATCCGCCCAAGAACTGTCGTCCAAACAAAAAAGGCCACCTTTAGGGAAATCACGTCCTGGCGCGTCCATGAGGCATCTATAGAGAGAAAGAACATCAAAGTTCCCCTGAGAAGAGGGAACCTAAATCCAAGAGTCCAACCCACAATCTCCTGGCAATATAGAAGCTCCAAAAACCCAATGGCATCGTCTAACTCCCAATCCTGAAAATGCCTTGAGAATCGAACATCCCAAGTCATCCTACCATTATCAAGTTGATAATAGTCAGCCACCAAGGCGGGTCTATCCATAGTAATCCTAGAGTCTAGGAAACTGCAATTTTTTATTGCTTATTAATTCAATATAAAGTCTAAATTATTAAGCCAATACTGCTAACAAGACCTAAAACTCATGTATAAGTCAATACTTATAACAAATCATTTTTAAAGAATCAACAAAAAAATACTAAATTTCATTAAAAAATTATATCCATTTGATTATCGTAACAATTTGTGGTAGTGGCCCCATATGTGAGGTTTGACAATTTCATGACTGGCACCCGATTCCGTTATATTTCGCCCGATATGGCCCTGGGTCTGTTACAATCCATCCACGTCTATGAATCATGGCTGCAGCTGAATGGAGATCTTAGATTGTCAATTCCTTATGGTCTTTTCAGTCCTAAATTTTTCCTAAGATCAATTTACCTTGAGGCATATGGAAACGTATTACAACTTAAAAAAGATGATAGCATCCATGTGAAAGTCAATTCCTTAATTTTTATTATTTATTTATTTATTTTGCACAAAAGACGCATGCAGTGACCAGAAACTTAGTGACGCCAAGAATGAGAATGGGGATTCAAGTATGAAGACAACCACTCCTCCCAGCGTTCCTGCCCCCAAACACTGGTGATCGTACTTTTCCAGCTTTCCCACATGCTATACCAATATGATATGGGTATCACATGGGGAGACAATTAAGCCATTGACCAGGAAAATCTGTAGCATATGAAACTTAAATTGAAATCCTTTTCCAAAGAGTAGTGCATCGTTTTCCAATAGTTCAAAAATTGAATACCTGAACATGTGATACATATGACAAGCCAGCAGCTTCAATGGTCAAAAGAAGCCCATGCAAAGACCAGATCTGTAAACCAGCTCTTGAACTTTTAGCCAGAGAAGAGATGGAACTCACTGTCGCAGGCACTAAACTTGACAATGCCATTCCTCCTGCACTGAAGACAAAACAGATAAGATGAAATCTTCCACCGTTCAGATATAAGGACTCCTATAACAAAGTAAAAGTCAGCACAGTAGTCAAAATTCTTGCAGAAAAGTTTTCTAGAATAACTATGCCAAATGTCATTGGGGATTTTACCAGTCTGTTCAGCCATAAAGAATGAGTGGCTAATTGTCAAGAAATTGAAGGAGATAGATACATCATCACATAGGTGGTGAACTTAAATGGTGAAAATAGAAGGTGGATGACTAACAGCACTACTCTATCTAGAATGAATATTTTGATTATAAAAAGAAATTGCATACAAGTAAAATATTGTTGAGAGATAGATTATATTTGAGAAATTCTGTAGTCGTCAAGATTTTTAAAATGATGACAATAATGCACGTCTTTTCTATGGTGGACCATTAACATTCATCACAAGAAATATAACTTCTGGTCATTTCTTTTAAATACCCTCGTAGATTTTCATACAGCTTGTATAGCCCTATGTTCACATGGATTACAGTATTTGGCTTCAGCACATAGTTTTATACATTTTACAACTAAATTAATGAAATTAAAAAATTCAAGAGCATAGTATAGCAGTAAAGCATGCACAATGTCAATCATCGATGCACTTCAAATTAGTGTTATCAAGGCGCACTAAGGTGCTAGAGGTCCTTTGGAGCCTAGGTGAAAGGCGAGGCGCGCAATAGAAAAATTAAATTACTATTAAAGCATATTCATATTCCGTATAAAAAGCGCAAATGTAGTCAAAGGGCACACAACAGGCACAAGTAGTAAGCCTATATGAGCCTGGAGCCTAGGCGCGTGCCCAGGAGCACCTTTAACTAACACTGCTTCAAATTACGAACAAACAACATATGCTCATAAGTTGCTTCAAATAAAATTAAATAGAAAAAGGAAAAATTACAGAGTCGCAAAGCAGATAAACCATATTATCAATTTTGTATATCCTATCGAGCATTGCATTGCATCCCATATTTTTTGTACCATATATTATTTTCATATCTTATGAATCATGATTCAATATCGTATCCATGTCCTATAAGATAATTCTTCAACTTCAGTATACTAGAAAGGCTTAGAGGAATAAATTGAAAGAAAACCATAAATATAGAAAATAATATAGACGAAAATAACGTGTATCTACAAGAAAGACTAGGTGTCAAATAATAATTGGGTTAAGTGCGGAAAACACCCCTAAAGTATACTCCGCAAACCACTTTCACCGCCTATTTTAAAAAGTGTGTTATTATCACCCTTAATCTTGCAAAAATGTGCAAATACACCTCTCATTAATTTTTGCAGGTCCCTGACATAAATTGATGTTTTATTATCCATTTTGCCCTTTTGGCCTTCTGAAAATGCCCAAGGGGTGTGTAGTATATATATTCCCACAGTAGAAGGGTGTTATGTGCAAATCAACTATATTTAACCCACTTTTGAGGTTTTTTTCTCTCCCTCTATAGCTTTAGTGTTTTTCTTTCTCTATATTTTCCAAAAATAATATATACACTATATAATAAAAGAACAAAAATACACGCAAATTACATATCATCGTGTGCGTATATAAAATTACATATCGTGCATCGAACAAAATATACACAAAATGACATTTTTAAGATAATGTGTAAAATGTCTCTGTAGCATATCATGTTGGATACTTATTTTCACCAAATCAATACTTTTGGGGTGTTTTGTGCACGTGAGGGGGTGTGACACACATTATAAGCATGGTAAAGGGTTTTTCCTGCATTTATCCCTTTGGCCTTTTCTGTCGTTTCACAAAATGACCCTTTTTTTTTTAATAATATGTAAAATGTTTTAGTAAAGGTAATTTGGGCATATCATGTCAGGTGGGACTTATTTGCACCAAATTACTACTTTGAAGGTGTTTTGTGCACGTAAGGGGTGTGATACGCGCCGTAGGCATAGTAGAGAGGTGTTTTCCGCACTTAACCCAATAATAATTATATCAAATCTAGCATTAAGAATTAGGGTTGCTATGATGTATCATCGTAAGATGAAATGTTATTCCATTGCATTGATTGATAAAATGACGCCAGAACTCCATAACATTTCCAGTGTTTCACCCCAGACAAAAAAATGAAAAAAAATTAATAAATAAATAAATAAAATATAATAAATAAATAAAAATAGGATGTGCTTGCAGAGGTTAAACCGCGTGTGAGTATAGACAGAAATAGGGTATCGTGTGTACATCTTTGAGTATCAAATTTTACATATTCTAATTTCATAACAGTATTTCTTTAGTGGTAAAGTCTCTAAGTGCTTTACAAATTCAGAATTTCTTTACAGGAAAAAGAAAAAATATTTGTGCTCTGTATAATCTAAAAGGATACAACTAAAGGTGATAAACTTCAAGATCATAGTAGAACCTATAAAAATAAATTTACAAAAGAGAAGAAGCAAAAGCAAGACCCCAAACGAACCCCTTTTTTAAACCTTCAAGTGCCTATGAAGCCACAGTATATAATGACTTTAAATTTTTTTAATTGCTTTGAAACTGGCTAATATAGTCAAGCATGCCCATATTATACATATTGTACACTGAATGTATTGTACATCACATGGTATGCTTATCATGAGACAAGATCTGATGCAAAAAACACAAGATAAAACACAAGATATCATGCACCAAAACGTGTAGGCAACTTGTGCACAAGACCAGCCTAAGTCAATTCAAAGTGGTTAACATCAAATAAAAATTAATAACACTTCAAAAAGTTGTCAGCTGTATTACGGTTACCAAAGAGACAGATTTGGGTGACCCTCAAGGCATGTTGATGAGTATTCATCTTAGCAATTATCAAGGAAAAAAAATACTTAGCAATCTTTTGGTATGCTTGGAAGGTAGTGGTGGGACTTGGGGTAGGCCTAACCCGAGCAACCCAATTCCCACCAGAAAATTTTACGAGACTGGGCAAGGTACTCGAGACCATGGGATGCAACTGGGTTTAAACTTTAGAGCCCGAATTTATTTTTGGTGAGATTTGGGTAAAGGTTTTACTAATCCGAGTATCCCGAAGAACATTACTAATAGTATCATCAATTATGGATTCATGGAAATTCACTAACTTTGACACGCTTACTTTAAAATTTTAAAGTAAAATAATAAAATTTTAGCTAAGGAAACAAAATAATAAAAAAATATAAGATTTTTAGTTATGTACTTTAACATTTTATTTTCTTGGTTGCTAAAATTTGGGATGGCTTGATAAACCCGGAAAACCTGTGTGGTATGGCGCATTCTAAGATGCAATGGGTTTCTCGGACTCGGGTTTGGTGAGGGCTAACCCCTTGGCCCACCCAACCCCCCAAGTCCCACCCCTATTGGAAGGACATAGTCCATCTTATTGTTATTTGCTTCGGATGCTTAGTGGATGAAGTTGAAAATGGTGTCAATTATCACATTTTCGATCTTCAATTGTTTTTGGTATCGAATCAATTCAAAGACAATATTAATGTTACGACAAACGTAGCGAACCCAAGAATAAATCAAGAAACACGACAAAAATGTAATCAGACCATGCACAAAGAATACAAAGATTTAGCGTGGTTCGGCAAAGCCTACATCCAAGGTGGAGATCCGGCGAAAGTTTTCAATATTTGGAGATTACAAGTTTCAGCCCCCAAACCCTAGCTCTCACTCTTACTCTCTTTCTCTGCGATTTTCAGTGTCTCAATAATTCCACTCCAAACCCTAAGCGCCCTTATATATGGGGCTACAAGAGAGTACTAAACAAAATCCACAACCCGCAAGCAAAAGACTGGGTCAAAAAATTTCCAATCGGATCGTAAACGGATCACAACGCGAACCGGCACCAAATTCAGGCTACAACATCATAATTAAGAATTTAAATCATGGAAATATGTAATTAATGGAGCTGACTTGTGAAGAATGAGCCTGCTTTGTTAACATTTCATGCTCTTAGGTACAGAGTTTGTATTGCATTAATAAAACAAAAAAAGTATGATCCCTATTACTAAAGAAATATATAGAGCTGCATATATCAAATTGGCAAGTATCCACGTAGCCAAATTCAAATGATTTGACAAGGGGAGAAGATTTCTTAACACAAATTATTGAACAAGATAGTTCTCATTATGAGTGAATTATTCTAAATATGACAAAGGTTAGTACTATTAAAATCCACAAATTCGCCACTTCTGCAGAGTAAAATAATCATGCTAAAGCTTTAAACTAATGGTATCCATTCCGTGGTCCTTGACTTCTATTTATATTACCCTCCATTCTACAAGAATTCCATTCATAATTCTTAATATTTTGCCTTCTAAAAAGAAACTCAGAGAAGAATTAGAAAAAAAAAAAAAAATTAGGATCGTTTTGGAATAGAAGTAAGAATTATATAATCACTATCTATACAAACAGTGATTATTGGTAAGAAGGAACAACAGATTCAGAAACTATAGCCAACCAAAGAAGTAGCAGAGCCATATGTATACCACACAGTCTGGTAACTTACCTTCGATGAATACAGCCGAGTGAAAGAGCAATTGATCCAGCATAGTATGAATCTGTTGCCCCAGTTACATCACCAAGAAGCAACCTCATCTGTTTATCATAAGAACTAATTAACCTGAGAATATGAATACAGCACCAAGAAAGAAGGAAAAAGAAAGGGGATATGTGTGTGTCATATATACATAGATAGAGGGAGAGACTCGAAAAACCCAACTAAATACCCTTCACAGTAACAAGAGAGGGGTATTACAATATTTTGTAAAGCAAGAGATCAAGAATGATTGATTCCTAGTTAATACAAGTATTAAATAAGTAATATGCCAAATAGACATCAAAATAAAGAACTGACCAATCTGGCTGTAAAAATGTCATTTCCAAGGCGAGCTAATAGACCAAGACCTTCAGAGGATGCTCTGCGTTGTGAAGCACAGATATCGCCTTCAGCCAGAATACTCTGCAGAAATGCAAAAGTAAAATCTAAGAAAACAAAACACATAATAGTGATCACATTCTTGAGCAGTGATCTAACGCATACTAAGAATCTAAAAGCAGCACCAGAACCTGAAAGATAGCCTGTGCTGAATTTAGTATTTCCAATCCTAATGGTTGGGGACGTAGAGCAAGCAAAGCCTGGGGGAAAGCATGGAATCATGGACCAGAGGTTAAACACAAAAAAAATGGAAGCAGTACACTTTAAATAAATACACAGAATAATGAGCACCTTCAATCCAGCAAGCAAACCCACACATATATTGGTGACACTGACAGAATGCCAGGGTTGTTTTTTCCCAGCTTTCAGACACTGCTCAACCATACCAAGGAGCGACAACATCCCACCACTATCCTGGGATAAGAAGTTAAAACTTTAGTTTTTTACACTCAGACATCCCCATCTTGACTAATACAGTGATAAATCAAGGCCAATCCATTGACCAAATTCACCTACCTGAGAAGCATACATGGTTCCAAAGCAGAGGAGCATCTGGTTCACCAACGTCTTGCTTATAGTCTCTGGCTTCATAATTGAATCAGTACAGCAGCATTGTAGTCAAGTGGAACGAGCAAAAATAAAGAACGCATAAGAAACTAAAGAATACAAATTAATAATGACCATTCAGGTTACTACTCTACCACCTATGATTACCCCAGGCATTTTCTAACATGAAAGAGAGAGGGGGGGGGGGGGGGGGGGGGGGGGGTTGGGAGGAATAGATTAGGAGTAGCACCTGCTAGTGATATAACAAGAGAAAGTAGGCTTAGGTGGTATGGAGACATAGAACTTAGACCCATAGATGCACTGGTAAGAAAGGAAACAGCAAGGCTGACCAAAACTAACGTGGGATGACATAATTAAAAAATTACTTTAGAAAATTGAATATAAGAATAGACAAGGTATAGAATAGAATAGAATAGAAAAAGAGAATTCATGTGGACGACCCTATTTGTTTGGGAAAAAGGCGAGAATGATGTCGATGATGAAACAAAAAGGGGAAACCAATGCAGCGTCACCCACATTATAAAAACAAAAATCCCTTTAAAAAAAAACAGAAGATTTGGTATATTTTATTAGAATTAATGGATTTAGTTGTTCAATACAAAAGAAGGTGAGCTTTGGCGCAACAAAAAGGTTGCTCCATTGTGGCCTATAAGTCACAAGTTCGAAACGGGATACAAGCTTTCCACATGGGAGGTAAGGTTTCATACATCTGACCCTCCCTGGACCCCAAAGTGGTAGGAGCCTTGTGCACTAGATTAGCCTTAAGTTGTTCGATGTAAATATTGTGGATGGAAATGCATAAACATGATCATTTTAACTATGAGATTGAAGAGAGAAAAAATGAAAAGACCCAATCAAGCAATGACAATGTCATCTAATAAAACCACCAAGCATTAGCATGGGTTGTATCTCTACACCTCTTAAAGAAAGGGTCACGTGTTCAGTATATACATATATATATATATATATATATATATATCAATTAAAAATATATTTTTTACCTGAGGAAAATTAGGAGGCTCATTATCCCAGACACATGGCAAAATACCGTCTTTGCCACCTTGAAATGCTCGAAGCTCATCTTCAAAACGATCCCTAGATAATTATAATCAGAAAGGAACAAATTACCCTAAAATGATTCGTGATAAATGAGATACTTATCGCGACCAGGAAATTTATTTGATATGATTTACTAGACATTAAAATTGATCATTCAAAAAAGACAATAATTCCATGACTTAAGAAACTAGACACCTTCCAGGAATCCAAGGGCCCAACGACGCATCTCTGTTGTCTAACAGCATCCTCAAGCATGAGCTTTCCTCACAACTGGAAGCATCCCTGTTTTTAGACTCCAACATTAAGTAATAAATAATGGAATCGATCTTCCAAGAAAGGTAGGAATTTCTAATTCAACAATGTTGCATGTAAAAGAAAATGAATTATGTTAGATTTACAAAAATAAAATAAAATAAATAAATCAAATATGGGGAAAAAATACCTAAAAGGAGTAGTGCATATCTGAATAATCCTAGGATGGTCATTCTTATATGCCATTGGATCAAAGAGGGATTGATAAGCTATCAATGTGCGGATGACAAATACGTCAACTGCAGGCTTCATATTTGGTTGATCTTTGGCCATCAACAAAGTTATATAGGATAAAGCCCTGCTCCATATCATATATTAACATTCAAAAAACAAACTCCTCTGGTAATAGTGAAATAAATTATAACCTAAAAAGAGAATTGACAGCCACATGGAACAAAATAAAGACATGTGTTTGCAAGTAATCATACCGACTAAGATATAGTAGCACTGGCTGAAGTAAAATACCCTTGTTCACAGCATTAGGAGAAACAAAGCATCTGATAAATGCTGTAAGTGCATCAACTGCAGCAGACCACACACTACAAAAGAAGAAACAAGAGCTTCATCAAACAAAAAAAGAATTTCAATTTTGTTAAAAAAAATAGCAGCAAAATAGAAAACTCTGCCAATTTTACAACCACAAGCTGTAAGAAAGAATCCTGAGATAAAGCAAATAATGCCTGGGAAAAACACAATTGCCAAGTCCAAACTAGTAATAATAGTCCCATTGACAAGATTAAGACTGATAGTTTCTGTAATATTAGTAGGAAGGAAGTGTACAAAGCGCATATATTAATTTGGCTAACATACATTCGTATATATTTTAAATTATCTAACTAACTTATACAAAGAAATAAAACATCAAATTTCGAAATTCAAACAAAATATGGATTAAAAGACGGTAAGAATGTAATATTTAACTCATCTTAAGCTAGTTCAAGGTACTGTTGTAAACTTGTAAGGTTCTGCGAATTTAGAAGCTTCTGATTCAGAAGTACAAAGAGAGCACAAATTCATAAAGGACTAAGACTATGCTACATGGTATTGGGTAACGGCTAACTCAACGAAAATGAACATAACTGGTGTAAAGGCTAACCATATTCTAGACGTCAGGTCTCCTCCTTGATTAATTTGGTGTTCTGGATTCCCACTGAACAATGTGGCCCATAAAGAAAGAATGTCAAAAACTTGATCCTCAAGCTCCTGCATCAATCAAAACTAGCAACTTAAGACACAAGAGTACGTGGATGTACAAAATGAAAATACAAAGATGTCTGTCTGACCTCTTTCGGCATGGAAGCGAGTAGTGATGATAACAATAGCCATCCAGCTTCTTTTACAACAGTGGCTGCCATAGGGTTCCGACAATTTCCTGTTAGCATCTTCTTAGAAACTTCAAGCACCGATCTGGGTAATCTGTAGAACAATTAATATAAATGCCCTCTATCAAACATGTGACCACAAGAAAAAAAGAAATGCTACCCAATAATGGCTTTCTGAGATGTGTATAGCATTCAAAATTCATAAATGTTGAACCAGCTAAAAGGCTAAATGTTTGATCGGTTAGATAGTTAGAACATGATATCACTTAAGAGATAATTCTTAGAATTCTATTTCTTGTTATCGACAGGAGGAGAACACTTTCACAAAGAAGTATGAAGGAAAACGTTAATTTAGAAATGGAAGGTTGAAGCAGCATATCTAAATTTTGACTTGAAATGGAACAAAAACAAGTCATAATGAAAATGAAAATTACAAACAAAAATCACATAACAATCATAAATGACAACCAGCAATTGGATCCTACAACAAGGATAGGTATTGTATATGATTAGCGTTCCAGGAGAACCAAGGTTTGAAAGAATGATAGTCAGCTGAGATGCTGGAAGTTATTAATATTTCAAGAATGTTGTTAAACAGCAAAATGGCAAGGAGAACCCATTATAATCAACAATAAAAAAATAATAATAATAAATAGAAAAAACAACTAGCCAATTTTAAAATAAAAACTGGTCCAAATATCAGAAACCCCAACCCGTAATTATAGTTTTGAAAAGCATTTTCCACTACACATTTAATGCCTTTCCCTCAAAATAAAGGGGGTACCAGAACACCACCATGGCGTAAAAAGGTATACCAATGGTTCTTAGGTGTATACCTCACAAGCCAAATCATAATTCAGATATGGTTTCTAGTGCCTTCTTTCACGAGGCCTACGCCTCATACACCATCATTTTTAATCCTTCTTAGTTTCTTAAGTGACAGATTTTCTTTTCACTCTAGGCGATAGATTATGAGAGGTGTCTATTTTTTCGCTCTGCTACACCATTTTGTTGTGGACTCACGACACAACTAGTTTGGTGGATAATCTCTTGGCTACTTAAAAGAATTTTCAAGAAGGGTTTTTGTGTACTCTGTTCCATTATTTTTATTTATACCTAATCCATTCTCATTTTCCTATGTCTTTTCTAATATTAACCAAGTCTTTTGACTGAGCCACGATATGCCTGATTCTGTATTTTTATGTATTTCGTATAATCAAGGGCAGCTTCTAAAAAAAAGCTACCTGAAGCATCACATATTTGCAAAATACCCCTGGCATGGCAAGAAACCTCCTCAACTACAAAAAGTATGCAAATCAAACCATGCCATTAGTTTTACCATTAATGACAATCGGAAATTACTAAATGCTCATAAGTTATTGTATGACATTTCATATTTATTTTTTTACAATCTATTTAAATAATAAAATTATGCCACGTGATCAGAATCTTGTACATAAAAAATTATGGGAAGGATGCTGTCAAGTGACCCACCCATTTTGGAATGAGCCTCTTGTTTATCCAATCTTTACTTTTTTCCTGAAAAAACCCCTAACATGAATATCGTTATTATGTATACACATATACATATGCATGTATTTATATGCGAATCCACTATCAAAGCTTTGCAACAGAACTTCAATTCTACCACTGATTTCCAAATCTTTTAATTGATGAAAGTAATCAATTCCACCACTGAATTATTATGTCTATCCCCATTTTGGTTTGATTTTGTTTTTACTCTTAGGTCCATCGGCAACTACTTGTCACGACATGGTTTTATGTGTCATTGTCAAGAAGACATCAGCACTTTATTATATGTGGCAGTTCTGTGGCTTTCTATGGAGCCTGATTGCACATTTCTTTGGCTGTGCAATCCATCTCACGCATGAAGCAGCCCACAGTTTTCTCCATACGGATTTGGTTGCAGACAGACTTCGTGGTTTTCTCCATGTGCACAGTACCCCCAATTTCATTTGACACGACTCACAAGCAATCCTTCCTAGTGACGGTTGGACCTCATAGATGGCCAAATCATACTGAGAGCTAGATGGCCAAATCATACTGAGAGCCCTCCGTATCACAGCAATCCATAACTTTTTACAAACTATTGAAAAGGCATCATGATAAATGTCATACTCTGCCCAAGTTGGAAGAGAACTTGAGTGGGTGTACACCGCTTGAAGGAGCAGCCGGTTGGTAGAGAACAGTGGCAGCAGCCTTTTAAAGTATACAAAAGGCGTGGCATGGAGGATTCTAAGGCTCAAACCTTAATTTGGCACATGCTAGAAGATGGGGGGTCCACTTGGACTCTTGAATGGGGGTTTGGTCAAAATGCATTATTTTGGTAATTGCATTAATTATGGTAAAATTGCATTGTTTTGGTAAATTGCATCAATTAAGTTATTTGTTACTTTATTAAGCTAGAGTCAACTTTTGATTACCTCCATTGTAATTTTGAGATTTCTTGTGAGTGATTCACAAATTTTGAGGATGTGAGGCCTTCTCTAGGTGTGATACGTAGGCCCTGTTGAAGTGATTCCAATAGGCTTTTCTTTTCTATTGGTGTGATGCCAATAGGCTTTTTCTTATTTTCAAATCATTTCTCTCTCTTGAACCATAATCTGTTTCTCTGACACTGTTGGTGTGATGTCAATAAACAACTCTTATTCTATTCTCCTTGATCTCCTACATTTCTTCTATCAAACCTCCAAATTTTGGTAGAGAACAGTGGCAGCAGCCTTTTTTTTTTTGATAAGTAAGATTTTATTAAAAACGCTCAAAAGGGGAGCGAAGCCCAAAGAAACAAAAGGAAACAAAAGAGCCAAAGGGCACCTTAGACCTTCAGAGAGGCCAAGAAAACAATAATTTCCTCCATAGATCTATAATCTCTCCCTAAAACCCAACAAAAAAGAGTAAAAATAACAGAGAACTTAAGCATAGAAACAGGCTTCTTTTTTCCATCAAAATATCTCCTATTTCTCTCAAGCCAAATACACCACCAGATACAAAGCGGCGTAGCCCTCCAAGCGTCCTTAATGCCAGCCCCAACAGAGACGCCTCTCCAAGCCTCAATCAACCCTCTAGAGGAATAAGGCATGGCCCAATGGACCCCAAATAATCGAAGCATCAAATCCCAACAATCTCTGGCCATGCTGCAATGTAAAAGGAGGTGATCAACAGACTCCTCATTACACAAACACGTGTAACAGTGATTGACCACCACCTGATTCCTCCTCCTCAGATTATCCTGGGTTAAAATCTTACCCAGGACAGAGGTCCAAGCAAAAAAGGCGACCTTGCGGGGAGCCTTGGACCGCTAAATAGACTTCCAAGGGAAGGGATCTCCATGACCAACCGAAAGGCATCTGAAAAAAGACCTAACCTCAAAACGGCCATGCGAGTTAGGAATCCAGAACCACCAATCCGATTCCCCAAAAGAAATCACCTGTCTATACAACAGCTCCAGAAAACGAGAAACATCCTCGATCTCCCAATCCTGGAAATGCCTCCTGAACTGAACATCCCAAGATAGTCTCCCGTTATCAAGATGATAACAGTCAACAACCATGGCCTGTTGATGAGAAGCAATCCTATAGAGCCGTGGGAACGCGAGAGCAAGACGGAGTTCCCCACACCAGAGATCCTTCCAAAAACTGATCCTCCTTCCATCTTTAATACGAAAACGAACATGCTTGCAGAAGTCATCCCAACCCCTCCGAATGAAATGCCAAACTCCGACCCCCCTTGGACCACGCATCGCCAGAGAGCACCACCCACCACGACTTTCCCCAAATTTGCTAGCAATAACTTTCCTCCATAACCAATGCCTCTCGATCTCAAACCTCTAGAGCCATTTACCAAGGAGAGCCTTATTAAAAGGCAACAACCTCCGAAACCCTAAGCTTCCAAAACGAATTGGACGGCACACTTGATCCCACCGAACTAAGTGAAACTTGAACTCTTCTCCTTGCCCCCCCCCCCCCCCCCCCGCCCCACCAAAAGAAAGTTGCACTGCAATCTTTCAATTCTCTCAGCCACTGAAGAAGGAATCTGAAACAGAGATAAGAAGTATGTAGGAAGGCTAGAAAGGGTGCTCTTAATTAGGGTAACCCGACCCCCCTTGGACAGGTACTACTTTTTCCAACCCGCCAACCTCCTCTCGAATCTGTCCACAACCGGATCCCAGCTCCCCACACATCTCGTAGGGGCACCCAAAGGCAATCCTAAATAAGAAATGGGAAAAGAGCCAGTGCAACATCCAAGGATCTGAGCAAACAAATCAATCTCCGGAACATCCCCAACAAGCACAAGAAGACTCTTGCCAACATTAACCTCAAGGCCAGAAACAACTTGAAACCAAATCAGAACGCATCTCAAATACCTCAGCTGGGACGCATCTGCATCACAAAACACAATAGTGTCATCTGCAAACATCAAATGAGAAACCTCTAATTGACTAGCAACATCCCTGTCCACCTGAAAGCCTCTCAAAAAACCCAACTCCACAGCCCTCTTCAGCAATCTGCTAAGAGCCTCCATCACAAAAAGGAACAGAGTGGCAGCAGCCTTTTAAAGTATATAAAAGGCGTGGCAAGGAGGATTCTAAGGCTGAAATCTTAATTTGGCACATGCTAGATGAATGGGGGGTCTACTTGGAGTCTTGCATAATTAGGGGGTTTGGTCAAAATGCATTGTTTTGGTAATTGCATTAATTATGGTGAAAATGCATTGTTTTGGTAAATTGCATCAATTAAGTTATTTGTTACTTTATTAAGCTTGAGTCAACTTTTGATTACCTCCATTGTAGGGTAATCCAAGGGTCATCCTTTATTATAAAAAGGATATTATGTAATTCTAATTACTAAGTCAATGAATGAATAACAAAATATCTTTTGAGATTTCTTGTGAGTGATTCACAAATTCTGAGGGTGTGAGGCCTTCTCTAGGTGTGATACTTAGGCCCTGTTGGAGTGACTCCAATAGGCTTTTCTTTGTCATTTTCAATCCTTCTTCTCTACTAACAACCCTTGAATCTTAGCTTTGTTTTCTGAATTTCCAGCCCACAACTCTTATTTACTTTCTTCTATTTGA